GGTATATACGAACTATATAAAGCAATATATTCCTAATTAAAACTAAAAAAAAGTAATAGCATTGATTATAATAAACATCATAAAACTTATTTACTTTAAAGTACATTATGGAATTGAATTTCTTCAGTGGGAAACACATCAATGATGACCCACAATTCAGAAGTCCAAAAACTTATTTGGAAGACATGATTAGTGGGGTCCTTCTAGGATTTGAGAAGGCCTTAAAATACAATATCATTTATGAGAAACAAAGCATTTCAAACAGTTAAAGTGAACAATTAGATTTAGTATAATTTTTGTTGTTTAGCATTTTTAAATGCTAAAATCGTCAAAATTCGATTAAAAATTTCGCTACACACTAATTACGGTACCGAGTGATTCCTCGGTAGTTATTGCCGTCGCATCGATCTCCTATTTTGAAGATAGGAATAATTATTTTTTCATTCCATCAGAAGAGATACTTTTGGTATCGAGGATTTTATTGAATAGTTTTTGGAGTGATTGTGTCATTAAACCACCTTCTTGGACATTTGTTGTTTTTAGACTTTAAAATAGCAGGTAACATCATCAAAAGAAATATCAATAAAATTGAATACTGATTGTCCTGTAGGTGAAAAAGTGGAGATTAACGTAGTCGGTATCATTACTTACGTTAAAATTCGCAATATTGCTAAAATGAAATTTAAGTGAGTGTTTCATTTTTTCAGGATTCGAAGTATAAATTGAAGTACCTGGGATTAAAATCGAATCAACAATAATTGGCTTTGTTTCTTTCCTTTTAGCTCATACAAAAAGTCTTTTCATTGGGGTCCACTTTTTTCCATAATCAGTGAACAATTTTCAACTTTTTTTGCATGGTCTTACGTTTAAGTAATGATTTATAATATTTTCGTTTTTCTTTGTATTTTTCCCAAAGAGAGTTACAATAGCAGATCAACACTTTTTAATGGTTTTTATTACATTTCTTGCTGCGTTTAGAAATTCCTGTCTTCGGATAGTATATATGACTGGGTTAAGTACTGGATTGATTTACATGGCTGGAAACCATAAATTATCAATTAGATTCGGCAACTCAAAGCAAATCGAGGAAAGTAAACTAGTTGTAAAAATAGAAGCCGAGCTTATCGAAAATGCACCAATCACGATAATCGTTGTTTTTGTTGCTTTCCAAGACGCAGAGTAGGTTTCCATCTGTCTAAATTGTCCGGTGGCAATAGCGTTTGTCTGTCGAGATTGCTTGCGAGCTGTAATATACATTCGTACATTTATGGCAATAATTGTTAAAAAATTTAACAAACACAATGTCTGATAAAATACCGAAAACCAAGTAACAATTAACCCTGTGTTACAAAAGGCAATGACCAAAATTGGTGGATTCACCAACGCAATTAAAGGGACTGTCCAAGCGAGGCATATTGATATAAACACAATTTTATTACTTGTATGATAGGAAAATGGTCGAGTTATCAACAAGTATTTGTCTATTGAAATTGCTAGGAGATGAACCATTGAGGCAACCGTAAGATATACGATCAAAGCATCCAAATCCAAGTTCGTAAAAATATCATTACTACACCGGATATAAGGTCGACAATTGCAAGACTAGCAGTGAGATAATTGCTGCAAGTGTGAAGTGCTGGACATTTTATGATGACAACAACAACAAAAATGTTACCAACGAAACTAAATAAACAAAGTAAAAAAACGATTGTTACTAATATGGACTAATATGGTATAAATATTATCTGAGTAGAAGAGATAGTCAGTCGAGTTTTGTTCAATTTCATATATTGGTCTACCTCTACAATGACTCCAGAAACATGTTTACGGTAAAAATCCATAAAAATAAAGTACACATAAAAAACCTGGACCACTGCATAATAAAATTAGAATTAGGAGCAGTTTGGCACAGCGGTTACGGTTCTGCTTCTCAACCTGGAGTTCGGAGGTTCAACCCCTGTGCGTTTCAGTTGCGTCCTTGGGCAAGGCAATTTACCTAGTACGGTTGCCTCTCTCCAACCAGGAGTGAAATATGTAGGCCTACCTGGCACGTTCAAACACAAAATGCGCTGATTACAGCTGAAACGTTGTGGAAAGTTCTCCCCAGGGAGCTCAGTATAGTTCCATGAGCTTTAAAAGAAAAAAATTTAATTTAATTTAAAAGATAACTAGAGCAGGTATATATAATCATATACAAGTATAGCAATACAAAGATTTATTTTTAAAGAGTAAAAATATGTTACATCAAAACAGATTTAATAACAACAAAAGAAATAAAATGAACCGCTGTGCGTATAAGATACACAAGTTCATTATATACACAGCTGCTGTGCATATAAGATCCGTTCTGTCCCTTATACACAGCCACTGTGCGTATAAGATCCGTGAAGTCCATTAAGATCCGTTCTGTACGGTACCTTATATACACAGCCGCTGTGCGTATAAGATCCGTTAAGGCCTTTATATACACAGCCGCTGTGCATATAAGATCCGTTCTGTCCTTATATTATACACAGCCGCTGCGCGTATAAGATCCGTTAAGGCCATTATATACACAGCCGCTGTGCGATACCCTTTTTCTTAATTAAATCAAACATTGGGCTTATTCGGCTGGTTCATTTCGTTGAGTACGAATTTTCGTTGATTATTATTTTCATTCGACTGGTTTATAAATATACTTCGTTGACAACGAAAATTAACGTAACCAGAATGCGAAAAACTGGATGAAAACATTGTTTTTAAGAAAAACCAATATTCATAATAAATCAAGTTCTTAGTTGATTTTGATGAAATAAAGTTTTTTGAAAATGATTATTTTTTTCTTAATTTTTTGACACAAAAATTGTTTTGTTATATGGGATTTTAAATTGTTTTTGTTGTGCCTATGTCCTGGGCCAGAACCTAGGGCTGTGCCTAGGCCTCACGTGCCTATAGGCCTGTGTAGTAGGGCTAGCCGGTATGGTAAGGCCGAAGTTATATCATGGCTTGTGCCCAGGTGTATCTTTATTTTTACCTGATCGACTTCTAAAACATGCCATTTATTGCTGATGTTTTGTGCCATAAAACTACAATATATCCAGTATAAGGCAATGGGTACTCCGAAGCGGTACGGGAACATGCTAGTCATCCATTTTGTTGACGAGACGTGAGAAGTACTGGGCGGTGACGTAATGAAGCTGCGAAACATAGACTCGCTCGATAATAAGCATTGCAGAACAGAATAGATGGATTATTTGTATTTACGTGACGTAAGCAACTTGCGAAACATGGCGAAACAGCTAATGATTTTCGGTGGTTATTGGCTGTTTTTTCGTTGTTATCCAATATCCCAGCCTTAAAAAGTTGCGGAATGTGGTGACATATAGAAGCCCCAGCGTTGAAATATGAGCACATTCCTGCCGGCGGTTTCAGAGGAGATAGGGGAAGTTACGAGGTGGCGATTAGCAGAATTAATAGATTTCTGAACTGAACTTTATTGGAACACTTTTGTATCAGTGGCACACATCATCTGGTGGTGAATAATAAGAAAATATTTCATAACTACTACAAAGAAAAATACAAAAACCAAATTTAAAAAGATTGAAAAGTTAACAATGAGTACAATGGAAGAAATATGCCATGAGCAAGAGATGGGCTGCAACTCAACTCGACAAGGCGGAGCCTAGGCGAACTTGCAGTAAATTACTTAGCCATTGCATAAGCCATGTTCATTTGTTGGCCTTAAACTTGTAACACACCTAAAAATGGTGTTATATTGAACAGTGGCGGATTCAAGGGGGAGCCCAATCAGCACGGGCCCCCAACCTCCTAATGTTTTCAAAATCATAAAAAAATTGGAGAAAATAGACAAAATTGTATTCAATATTTAATTTGAGAATGCCATTTCCGGCCAGAGGTGCCATAATCATAATTTTTTTCTTACCTAGTCCCAACCGTTGTGGGGCAGAGGTGGGTGGACTTTCCATTTGAGCAAGACCCTCCATGGGTCCCCTCTATTTCGACTTCCTGAACCTGCATCATTTCCGGCTACTATAGAAGGGTAAATTTTTTAATTTTTAATTTTATTTTTTTTTTGTTTTGAGATCGTGGAAGCAATCTTGACTTCGACTTTGTTCGGAAATCTGTGGCGGATTCAAAGGGGCGGGGCTAAAATGTTCCAATATTTTTTTTAATTTTTTTTTTTTGAGATAGATATAAAGAAAATTAGTGCAATTTCCTGCCATCTAGAGGTGCCATAATCACAAATTGTCTTACCTCACCATAGTGGGGCTGAGGTTGTATAGATCCCCCATCTGCGAAAGAACAGTTCCCAGGAGGATTCAAGGGGTCCCCGCCGGCCGCCCTGGGTCATCCGCCCCTAACTCGTTCAGTTTTAATTTTTTTAAATGAAGGTAAAAGAAAATTAAATTCAAATTTTATGCCTGGAAGTGCCTTTCCGGCCATTTAGAGGTGCAATAATAGCAAATTTTCTTACCTTAATCCCAGCCATCGTGGGGCTGAGGTTGTATAGATCCTCTATCTGTGAAAGTACCCCTCCCCCTGGGCCCCTCTATTTCGAATTCCTGGATCCGCTACTGGAAATTACAACAATTATGAAGTCATATTACAGTAGCTTGATGCCTATAAAATAACTAATAAAATTCACCAAACTTCGTCAAATATCCGTAGCTTCCAGGGGGTTTTTTGTTCCTGGACCCACACCGGGGGCCCTTGGCGGCTCCTGGCCCCCAGCCTAGATGCTTCGCTCGCATACAGGACCTTATGGAGTGTCCCCCATTCCCTACCGTTGACACTTTAGCCTCCTTGCAGCCTATGCTAAAGCAAATATAATACATCATAAAAAAAATAGGCCTACAAATGTCTTTATAGCCAGCATTATGTGAACAAGGAGATACACTCATTGAAAAATTAACTTGTGCAAAAACAAACATTTTCTTTTTTCTTATTCCATAAGATATTTTCATCTAAAAGTTAGCCACAATTTAATATTGAGTTATTTTCATTTATCATCTTTTATTTAAAGTGTATTTCGCTTCAATACATGAAATGTACGGAATTATCTTTTTTGCACATCTAAATAATGCTAAGAGTAATAAAGACAAAAGAACTAGATTCAAGTCACATTTTGTAACACCTCTTCGCCTATTAAAGCAGATATATAATAGCTCCGACAGAATGCATCTGGTTTTAACAAGTTCACCAGTTTTACAATTGGTGGGAACTGCCAATTATAACGTGGCAAAAACTGTCAACACCTTTTAAGGGTTTTTAGTACATTTTTTGCTGCGTTTTGAAATTCCTGTCTTCGAACAGTATATATAACTGGGTTAAGGACTGGATTGATTGACATTGCTGGAAACCAAAAATAATTAATTAGATTCGGCATTACAAAACAAACAGAGGAAAGAAAATTAATTGTAGCAATAGGGACCGAGCTTATAGTAAATGCACCAATTACAATAATTGTTGTTTTTGTTGCTTTCCAAGACGAGTAGTTTTCCGGTTTAGGTAGTCCGGTGGCAATAGAGCTTATTTGCCGAGATTGTTTGCTAGCCGTAACATACATTCGCACATTTATGACAATAGTTGTAAAATAGATTAACAAACAAAATGTTTGAAAAATTATCGTAATCCAGGTAACAGTGAACCCATTTGTACATTTGGTAATGATCAAAATGTGTTGATTCACCAAAGCAATTAAAGGGATTGTCCAAGCAAGGCATATTGATAAAAATACTTTTTTTTTACTTGTATGATAAGAAAATGGTCGAGTTATCAACAAGTATCTGTCTATGGAAATTGCTAGGAGATGATCCAAAGAGGCAACAGTAAGATATACCATCACCATAAGCAATACCCAGACCGTCATATTAAACATCATTGCTACACTGGATATAAGGTCGACAATTGCAAGGCTAGCAGTGAGGTAATTGCTGTAAGTGTGAAGTGCGGGACATTTTACGATGACCACCACAACAAAAATGTTACCAACGAAACCGAATATACCAAGTAAACAAATGATTGTTCCTGTAATTGTATAAATGCCATCAGAAGAGGATAAATAGTCAGTCGAGTTACGTTCCATTTTATATATTGGTCTAAAATGATTCCAGAAACATGTTTACTTTAAAAATCCATATCACAAATACACATCATAAACGGAGGTTTAAATCCCTTGCTGTGCATTCCGCTTGTGCCCGTGGGCAATTAGGCACTTACCTACGGTTGCCTCACTCTACCCAGGAGTACAAATAGGTACCTGGTAGGCCTAAGATCAAACAACAAAAGCGGTGATTACAGTGCAACGTTATGGAATTTTCCCCAGGGAGCTCAGTATGTGTTCCACAATTATGAGCTTTGATCAAGACCGGGGCTAATATTGTGAAGCGCTTAGACTAGAGGCCTTGTTGACATGAAGCGCTATATAAGGCTAACATGTTACCGTATATAATAAATTCGATAGAGATACTTAGGCAAACAATGTGCGTATCTAATATCTGAACTTTAATTAAGATTTCAATCCCATGAGGGGCGTTTAGTTTTTCACAATTGTCACATCCGTTTTTTTAATTTCAATGGTTTTAAGTTGATTGGGATTCGCTTTCACGTCACTATGGCTCTCGCTATTGACGAATGTCTCATTTTATAGTCATAAAATCGAAGAGAACTAATAACAATCAAAACGATCATCAAAACAGAAAACTTCAAATGAAGCAATAATGGTATTGGCAAAATACGATTGACAGTTACTAATTGGTTCACCACTAAGTATAATGAAACAATATTAAACGTCAATATTTATCTTTTTGAAAGCAGTAGTAAAAGTTATTTAACAAAAGTAAGCACAGATATGACAAGATTATCAAGTATACATTAAAAAATTGTATTTATACAAAAATGTATATAGGCCCTACGTTTTAACTGAAAATATCCATCCTAATATTACTTGGTAAGCCTGTTCTTCAGATAAGTAATATGCTTACAGCTCTCCATCAGCCTTCTCAAACAGTGGCGTATCTAGGGGATACGCATGCCCCTCCAAAAATAACTCTCTTCCCCCTCCCCCACCCCCCCACCAGTTGGCCCTCTACCAGTTTCCCCCAAAAAATCATTTGCCAAGTAGTTAAAAATCACCGTACCTTGCGAGCTAGCCCCCCTTGACTGATCATCGAACCCCCACTTCACCTTCACGCTCCCACCCAATCAGCACCCCCATTTCAAGACTTCTAGATACTCCTTTGTTCTCATACTCTGTGCCAGTTTTATATTTAATTTAAAGAAAATGTTTAATATGACTACTTCAAGTTGTTCCGTATTTCTCTAATTTTGGTCTAATTTTCTGTTTCAATGTCAAACGAATGTCTTTCTGAATGTATTTTGTTTTGGGTTTGGCACTGACACTATTTGAATGTCTATTTCGATTCGATGATAATATGCAATATTATTGACTGCAATAAAGATAATTTGAAATTTAAATTAAAACAATATTTAAATTAAAACAATATTGAAGATAGACATATAGCAAGCACGTATGATTGTCCTACTTAAGAAAAAAGATAGATAAAAATAGTTGTGAAACATTTATTTCCAACAATTGCTGTTCAACTACCAGAAAAATGCCTAGATTCAAATAAACATACTGTTTAAAGTATTCTAATTAATTATAGATTTAGTGAATGCTACCACATCTGAGCATGTACTGTACAGCTTAAAAATATACCTGAGCTTGAATAGTAAAATGGTAAATCTATCTATCCTTGGGGCTGGAGGACGTCATCACTTCATTACGAAGTACATGTTTAAAACCAGGACTTTTCTGTACAGATACAGATACAGTTAAAAGTCCTTCAAGCGGATACGCCTAATACTAAAGGTGGTATACACAATAGCAGACTTAAAACGCAACATGACTGATAATGTTAGAAACAACAACTATCGCAATGATTTATAGACCTAAAAATATTATCATTCATAAACTCTATTCTTAATTTTGTTTCAATAGTGAAATGAAGTCCATATATCATATACTGTACCTAAATTAAAATCGATAAATGAATGAATTAAGGACTCATCAATCAAAACAACGTCTATTCACTTGCAACAAAACATTTTACAGCATTCGTAGCATGCTGATTGGATTTTATGTAATACCTAGAGAGTAGAGAGAGAAAAAAATCCCCATGTTCTTAATGGGGAAATACAAGTGAGTTTCCTGTACCAGCTTAGCCTTATTAGCTCAGTTGGTACTTGTTGAAGCAAGTAAGTCCTAATCTCGGTTGGATTCCCAGTGAATTTTTTTTCTTAAAAGAATAGCTCACTTTCTTAAAGTGACAAAAACCAAATTTATGTAATTATAACCTCTCTAACAATAATAACACTGTTTGTCTTCATACAAAATACACTGATCCTAGGCACCTGATTGGTCCAAAGTGAGTAAATAACATGACTATGCCACGCAGGAAAGCAATAAACTACAAAACCTCTATTACCTGTATATACAAAATAAAACAAGTCAGCAAATCCGCTTTCACACTACCCCCTACATGACCAATGCAATAAGACAATAACAAATATGATAGAAATGCAGCGTTTTCAATTTAAATATTAGGCTACAAATACGATTTTTTGGCACTATTTATATAAAAAACACAAAATTAAAATATTAGATTGAATTCATCTTTTGAGTTTTGGTGATTTTGAAGAAAAATCCACGGAAATACTCCTCTAAAAAAGACAATTTTTCTTAAACTCTGATGTGCACTTTTAACATTATGTTGAATTTTAATTTACAAACACTGAATATTAAATACTACATTCTATAAACCAAGAGCTTTACTGTTTAAACTCACACAAACATTTCCTCTAAGATTAAAAAAATCGAGACAATGATGAATTTGGCACTACATCCTGTTTTTCCTAAAATACATTTATAATAAAAAATACTGAAAACTGTCATTAGTGTTTGAAGCCACCAAATAGCGATTTCTGAATTCGACATATTCAGAAAATTTGCTTAAGCAACATGTACATGTTTATTTAACACTACCACAAAAAATAAATCGTTTTCTGCATATCAAAAAAAAATTGTGTCTCAAAATATACAAATTTTAATATATACACAATTTAATTCTCATATACACATGTGTGGATATCTACATAGATTTAACAAAAATAATACAAACAAAAAGCAAAATGCATAAATCACAAAAATGCATAAATAAAATTACATTTGTTATATAAATTCCAATTGTGGAATATAGTACTGCATATAAAGGTTAATTGGATGGAATACATTTTTATTGTCACATTACACAAATCAGTGTTGATTATTTTTAATTATTTCCAATATTACCAAAACATCACTCGAAAATATGTCCTTCCCAGGAACATATAATTGCGCTCTGTAAACTGCAATCTTCAATATTTAATTTTTGAGGGTGTTCTGTTTTACAGGACATTATGATGGTACAAATATCCAAATATAAATTTGCTATTTCAAGCAAAGTAGGTGTGCAGATATTACACTGTTTCCAGTATAACCCCAGGGCATGAGAAACCGCTAACATCTTAAGTCTGTTGTGGATAGAGCTCTTTAAATAATTCCCCATCTCCTTTTTTCTTGTCCAACCATTTTCCACATGGAAAGAGAGTCCTTTCACTTGTTGCTGTATTAATGATTTCTACTCTATCGCACAACCAGGCTGCATTCTTGAACCCAGCGTTATCATGCTCTATTCGAATTTTTTGAAGTTTTCCCAAGTCCAATATCTCTAGTTTAAATTTGTCTGTTTGACCTGTGGACATAACAATCAAAAAACTTATATCATATATCCATTGTTTGTCAGAAACATTAAAGATACACTGTCTGCCAAAGAAATCGGAAAATACATCAACAATTCAAAAAAAAGTTTAAGCTCTTATAAAAGGACCAAGTAAGTTATTAACTTCCAACAAACTTTATAGTATACAGCAAAGTAAACAAATTAATTAAATAAACGAAAATTAGAAAAGAATAATGGTAACTTCATTTACCCTTTTCAAACAAATCCCGCCATTTCTGCTTCAGTGGTTGTTTTCCAGAGTCTCCATTTGATCCATATATTGTAATGCTTACATTAGCATCTGTGCCTGCACCCTTTTCATCTGATGTTACTACAATGACTTCATAATGTACTGGAGCCAGATCTGAATTATATATATGATTGTAAAATGTCACAAACAAATACAATAACAAACTGTAACTCCAGGTTACTATATATATATTTTACATTATTTATCTCTTGTATCTTCATTTCAACAAAAAATGCTCCTTTTACGCTGCACAATAAAGCATGGCCTTCCCATGGTGTCATTTTTCTCTGAGAATTGATAAGTAGAAGTTTGAAAACCAATCCGACTTTCCAAACTTTAGTTACTGTGGTAACAAGCAATTTACTACTACAACAACGAAAACAACATGAAAAAATATTACAATTTCAATTAAAATAGAAATTTTGTATGGAATTATGATAGTATTTAGTATGAATTTCCTGATATAGTGAAATATTAAATATGCAAGTGAGCAATTAGCATATTCACACATGCATAAAAGAAATGTTTCATCTTCTTAATACCATCTTGAATTTTGTAGTATTTGAAACCAATCTGACTTACCAAACTTTAGTTAGAGTAATAGTGTAAAATTCCTGATAAGTGAAATATTGATTATGTAAATAAGCAATCAGATTATTCACAAACGTACCAAACACAATAGGTTACTTCTTCTTAAAACCACCTTACAAACTGCCAAGATTGAAACCGATCAAACTTACCAAACTTTATTTATAGTGTTAGAACTGAAATAAAACCATTTCTAAAGTTCTAGAATTGTACTTACTTCTCACTGTGGTACTTCTTCCCTCTTCAACAGATTTGGGGACAAGAAGTTTACCATCTTCATGATCATAACCAAGTGGTATCCAAGAATTACAAGGGAATATATATCTAAAAAAACAGACAATTACAAGACAACATTTTTAACTACAGTTTTTTCAATATATTAATATCTATCTTAACTAATACTTTGAGCAGTTCTTATTCTTCCACTTACACTCAGAGAAATTTTTGAGTACAAAAAATTGATGCATGCTAGATAAAAAATTAAACATCCTGATCTTTTCTCTTGTGACTGGAAGCATACTGTACAGTTCTCTACATGTGACATTCATCAACACTTACTTTGTTCCATTGCTGGAATCTGTTATAAGTACTTCATAGCAATGCCATTCCACGTCACGACCGGTACCTTTTGGCCGTGGACCGTCTGGCCTTTCTTTGTGGCCTAGAAGGATGCTTTCAATTTTACCAACATTTCTAGTGGAGAATCTGAAAGTATTTGTATCTCCCCTAAAGAAAATAAAAGAAACCAACAAGTTTAAAGTATATATACTACATTTAATGCAGCCCAGTGATGGCTCTAGGATTCAAGGAAAAAGATGATGATGGAAACCAGCAGGGTTTGGGAAGAAGCATGGTAGGGGTCCATGAGGTTATGATCTCTGGTGCCTAGAAAAAACAACAGGGACATTTTAGACAATTTTAACCCGTGGTTTTTTTGCTTAAGTCAAATTATCAATATTGCTTAGCTTAAAAATTGCTTAAAATTGAAAAGTCCATTGTACACATGCACCATCTAAGACGATTTTTAAGCTAGGATTTTGCTATGGTTTGATAAATCAGCTTGATATTTGCTTAGGGACACCTTAACTTTTTTGACTTAAGACACTTCTAAGCCGATATTGATAAATCCCGGGCCAGGCCCTCTATATTACTTGTGCTGTTACTGCTACCAATAGTATTTCAAATTCTAGACTCAGGTGCTGAATTTGAATAATTTTAATTGTTTTAGAGTAGGCACTGGGAAGATACTCACTTTCTTAATATTTTATCCTTGGGGGAGTTTTCCATAAGGAACTCCTTCGACGATCTTAGATCACCTTGTATTATAATCCATCCATTCTGATGGGTTCCTGCATCTCGCTTGTCTGTGGTTGTAACACTAATCTCATATACTAGAAGAAATATACAAAGACAAATAAAACACAGCCTAGATCACCATGACATAGAAATATATTAACATGATACAAATGAAAATAGTAATATTCAAATATTGTGTGGTGTATGGTATCTATTGATTATTCTAGCATCCTGCAGAATTACACTGTAATGTATATGAAAACAAGTGCATTTCTGAGAAAACGTATGTGTGTGGGAAAAGCTTGTATTCATGGCCCTGTTCTGATTGGTTAGTTATGTTTGATTGACAATCCATAAAGATCTGGAATTAAAAGGTGGTCTACAGAATTCCTGTAAGTAAATCTTCTCCCATAAAAACAAAAAATGAATAAGAATTTTCAAGTGGAGGTATAGTAGTTTAAATATGATGCCAGAAGATGTGGGTTTCATTAGCTCCTGAGGGCTGTTCTTGAATGGAACTGGCATAGTCAGTTTACTTATCTTGCAAATTGATAGCAAATTAATTTAGATACTTACAAAATAGAATTTAATTTAGGCATTATTTAGACAAGATATTGATATTTCACTTTATCTACAATGTAAAAATATGTACCAATCTTTTCCTTATTATCCCTCGGCGTGGCTTGGTTGTCACATGTGATTTCACGCATGATCTGTTTGTCATCCTCGTCACGGGCTAACCACCTATTTACAGTAAACATATAGGATTCGTCTTTCCTTGCATCATGAATCTCCACGCTCCCAAGATGCCATCCAGCTTTAAAACCTTTATAATAAAAAGTAAATCAATCAACATCATTATTAGTCATAAAAAAGATTCTTCTGACTTGATAAGTGTGAGAATTCCATAAATAACAATATCTATATAAACAAATAAAGAATGATCTTGTTATTCTGTGTGATATTTGGTACTTCAGTACATCAGTTTATCCAAGTAAGTACTTATAAAATCGGCTAAGACCCCAGTCAGTAAATCAATCTTTATTCCATATCTCTTTATTTAATTACAAATAATTTAAATTATTACATTAAATTTATTTATAAAGCTTTCAACAGTGGGTACCTCTAAAAAATAAATATATTAATCATAATATCTCTCTCTCTCTCTCTCTCTGAAATCCATATCACATGAGAGGGTGACGATTGAATATAAACATTGTTGACGGGGTTGTATAAATGGGCGACGTTTGTAGAAACAGAGAAAAAATCCATCACTCAGGACCCTGTGATTGGAAGGCACTGGACCTTCCCGTATGTCAATCATCATAGGCCTACTTAACAACTGACCAATCAGAACACAGTCAGGCTGTCTCTTATACACATCTAGATGTGTATAAGAGACAGATATATATATATTTAATCAGATCTAAAGGTCTGAAAGGATCTCTATGATTCAGTGCACAACCAGTGCTGCTGCTCCCTTTTACTTCATCAATATTCTATAACCACCATCTTGATAATGATAATGACACGACAACAACATATCATCGCTAGTTTATATTCTTCAACACTGCGCGCATCTGTATCGTGTCTTGTCGTGTCTAGTGTAAATGTGGCTTAAGACTGAAGTACAGTTTACAGTGCACCTCCTTCATACTGTATATTGTAGCCTATTAGTGTACATTGTACACTCAATGTAAACATGCAGTATATACAGTACCTGCATTATCATGCCAAATCCTTATCTTGATCAGTTCTCCTAAACTTAAGATATTATCAAACTTGAAAACATCTGTCTGATTTCTTTCAAACTTATCACGATGCGTGGTAGACTCTTTGAGCTTCAACTCGCCAGAATCACCGTTCATCCCGAAAATGATGATGGAAACGTTTGCATCAGTTCCACCTCCACGAACATCAGCCGTTTTTACTGTTACAGTATATGTTGTATCTGAAGGAAACAAAATTTAAATTATCATCTATTATACCTGCGCTCTTTCTTCACCATTCAAAATTCAAGCATATTTTTTAAATTATTTTAATTAGTTTCAATAATACTTACTCTTTATTTGCTGTTTTCCTTTGATAGTAGCTGGCAGATCTCGTACCACCTTCTTGTCACTGTGGTTCTTTGATAACCAATCTTCACACTTGAAAACAGTGAGTTCACCATTCACCATGTTCCTCATTGTCACCTAAATAATACAAACCATTGGTTAATACTAGTAAGCCTATGAGTGGGATACACACCTCTTGAAAATATGAATCACCCATCACGCATCATAGGAAGCAGTATAAGAACTGTCATGTTTCAAATATTACCAAATTAATAACCTTTTCTTCAATATTCAATACAATATGCTTATGATTTGGCATTTTTAAAATATTACCTTGTCGAGGAACCAATCTGGTCTACTTCCTTTACCATTGTGACCTATTCGCAGCTTCTTCAAGGGTGCAATATCTTCAAGTTCCATCTATGTGCATAGATAAAAATAGTTGTTTCTGGTTAAATATTTTATTACTGCCTTTTCAGAATTTATTGGTTTTCAACCCTATTTGATGTACAGTAAGTTGACTTTAAGAAGTATAATGGTTTATCCAGATATTCTTTTACATAAATATTTTATCAATGTAATGGAAATCAAATAATAATCAATGAAACACTTACATAATAATCGTAAAAGTTTTGACTAACCTATACAAGTAGATCTTCAAATACAATTCAGATTACTTTTATTTTTGTTATAAGTAGAAATCAATAAACCTTACAGATGTATAAAAATATTTCAAAAATTATTAGTATTTTATTAATATGACTCCTCAACCAGGGGTTTAGCCAGAAAAACGATATAGGTCATCCATAATGGAAGTCAGTGGTGTGGCACTGAGACGATGGGCGGGCCACGCCCATCTTTGGGAATCCCCGCTGAATATTGTTACAAAAACAACGTACATTCAGTCAATAAATGTTGTTTTTATTAAACGTAAATATGATTTAGCTTTAGTTTAATGTAACACTAGATAAATTTGAAGAATATAAAGAATTTGCTAAAGGTAGACCAAGCTCAATTAGGCTAGGCCGAGCTGATTAGGCCAAGCCGTCCAAGTCGTCACGGTAAAAGTAGCCGTCCTAAATAATTGTAGGCCGTCCTAAATAATTGTAGACCGTCCTAAATAATTGTAGGCCGTCCTAAATAATTATAGGCCGTCCTAAATAATTGTAGGCCGTCCTAAATAATTGTAGGCCGTCCAAAAGACGGCCGGACAGCTTGCTGGCTAAGCCTATGTCCTCAACATACCTTTATCATGTCTTCACCTCCCCGCTCAAATCTGTCACCACATTTATCAATCGGCATATCGGGTGTGTTACCATTGCTACCAAACACGGTCATCATAATGGGTGCATCGGTTCCCGCTGCTTGAACATCCCCAGTATAGATAGTAACTTCATAGGTGATTTCTGTTACAACAGAAAATTAAAAATGAATCAAATACATCCTATCTCAATACAGATGCCTACTCATCCAGTTACCAATTTTAATCCTGCTGAGATTTTGGGAGAAGTATAATATTTACAAAGCAGTGTATCTGTACATCTGGGCAGTAGAAAGAAGTTGCAACCTGGGTTCTTTTGTACTGGAAGATTTAAGTCTCTATCTCAAAGAGCACCCAGGAATTCTGTTACTGTTGGCCTATTATAGATACACTGTTATTTATTTTCATTATTACCATCATATAACTTTAAAACTAATTTAATTTTTTGTTTGTTTACTGTACATGAAGATGATGATTTCTTTTCAATCTACTTCACTTTGATACTGAACACAGTTAATCTCCAATTTTACATACTTGGTTTATACTGTAGTTTCTGCCCTTGTTCCAAGTGCAGTGTTCTAACAATATGACCGTCATCTTTGTCTTTGGAGAACCAACATTTACAAGGGAAGATGTAATGCTTTCCGACTGTCGGCATGTCAACTTCCACCTCCTCTATGTACCAACCCTCTTGTGGTGTCATACCATCATGTCCAATCTAAAGTATACAAATTAGAATAAATAAGGTACCTAGTAGTAGTAAATCCTTGCCAAGCCACTAAAGCCCATAGGGGCTGCAGATTATCCTCAGTTTCTATAGCGTGAAGCGGATGAGAATGTGATGCTCCCCCTGGGTGGGACGCTAGACCACTGCAGCTGACTCCCAGCAGTTTGCTACTACCCATTACCCAACTGGGTAAACTGAAGCAATGGGGATAAGTTCCTTGCTCAAAAACACAAACGAAATGCACTGCAAAGGATTGAAACCCTGATCTTGAGGTTGGGAAGCCAAGCCCTTTCCACTGCACCAAACTGCTTCCAACCAATATATAGAATAACATTTATCATGATTTCAATATTAACATTTAAATCCAGATGCAATATGTTTTCTTACATACTGTACATCAGAAGTATTCATAGTAGGCCTACAGTATTTATAATGCTTATATCATGAGATATCACAAATAATCTGATACTGTACCTCAATCTTCTGAACATCACCAACGTCGGGTGCCTCAAGCGAGAATGTCTCAGTGGACGCTGGCTCCATTTTAGTCTTATTAACCAAGTGTAGTGGAATCTTGCCCGTAACATTCTTCTTCTTGGGTCCAATGATGTTGATGAATGCATTTGCCGTTGTACCCATGTCTTCCTCTTTGCCTGTTGTTATCTTCACAGTATAGGGTATAGCTTTAGAGAAACAATATATTTGGCTTTAGTCAAGACATGGAAAGATGTTTTTAGCTTGCCGAGGAGTTATGAATGCATATATGTCAATATTTTACATAATAATAATATACTTATTGCTCTCTCTGATGTAGAAATGCTAGAGTAACCACAAGTAAAATTTTTGACAGACTGATACACTAATAATATCATTTGTTTAATTTTTAAAGATTGAAAAACTCAAAAAAACTGAAACATTTGGGACACCAGAGCCACCATTTATCACTTGTTTCCTTTTTACTTACTAGGTCCATCATATTGTGGATCCTCTAATCCTGACTGACGACCCGAGCGAGGGCTCTCTTTGATGGATTTCAGTGAGCGCATTGAAGCACTACGATGCATTGTGCTTAGTGTACTAGTACTTGATGTGTCACCATCATAACCCTGCAAGATGGAAATAACTCATAGAATTCATTATGAATGACAGGAAAGTAGGCCGATTTGGCCAGTGAAGGAAGGGTGGCAGAGAGAAGGTAGCAAAATTTAGAATGCAACACTAAATCCCTTTTACCTTTATGTAAAGACTTCTTTCCAACTTGCCATCATCCTTGTTTTTACCGAGCCAGCGCTCACAGCGGAACAACGCCGTTTCACCATCTGTGTCAACTACTTCCACTTTGTCCAAGAACCAGGCGGCATCAAAACCAGAGTTGTCATGACGAATCTTGATTTTGAAAACTTTAGCAAGATCAACTGCTTCCACTGTAAACTTATCACACTTTTGAAGAATATATGAAAATACAGTTAACATGGAATAAAATAATAGAGGTAGATCATGACTCTCTGAAAATATAGTTTTAAAGGTTCTAAAATTCTAAAAAAATGGGGAAGTAGGTGGGGAGGGGAGTAGTGCTAACAGGGAACATTGGTAATTGTTGGGTTATCTAGGTGATAGATAATAGTGGTATTTGCCACATATAATTTTAACTTACATGTCCTCTCTCAAATTTGTCTGAGTATGTCTCAGATTTATGCAGTTTACGTTCTCCTGTGTCACCATTTTCACCAAAAATATTGATGAAAACGTTAGCATCAGTGCCAGCACGAAACACATCGCCTGTATACACAAGGACTTTGTATTTTCTCACTGAAAGATTAAAGAAAACAAACATAATGAAAAATATTTGCTGGAACATATGGGGCTTGCCATACCAAAACCAGCAGCAGTGACCAAAACAAGCAAATCCAATTCCAAGGCAGAAAAGTTCAACAACTTCTTGAAAATAAAAATAAAATTCCATGGCAAAAAAGTTCAACAACTTCTTGAAAATAAAAATCAAATTCCAAGGCAGAAAAGTTCAACAACTTCTTGAAAATAAAAATCCAATTCCAAGGCAGAAAAGTTCAATAACTCCTTGAAAATAAAAATCCAATTCCAAGGCAGAAATAAAAAACAAGAATTCTTCTCGCAATAGCTAAAACACGAGACACGTGGTCCAGTACTTTGTGGCTACAATACACAAAGGAGGTTCTCTTTCAACAAACGTCGAATAGGGAATGAGGAAGAATGTTAGGGAGACGGTTCATTCGTGGCGCCCTGGGTCGGACTGTTCCATTTTATTTCGAAGGCTTGTTCCGTTTTGGGAACAATGGCAATTAGTCGGTTTATCCAGGTAAATATTCACGAAATACCCTGTAGACTGACTTTTTAATTATATTGATAATCTCCACATTAAATGAATGATATATGAAATGATAGGTCATTTACTGGAGTTGACTTCTCTGTAAAGTATACAATACTGCCACATTCATATGCTAATTACTCAATTTAACATTTAGTGACATTACACTGGTTTTGGAATGACAAGTCTCACATAATGAATATTATTTAATAATTGCATCCTATTTGGACTTCTATGGATTATCATAATTATATTATTTTCTTTACTTGTTAATGTTGACTGCTTGAGATCTTTTTTCTTAAGAGTTCCATCTTTGCCAACTTTCTCCTCAGTAACTTGTGCTGGAACCAATTCCCGCACGATCTCGCCATCATCCTCTTTACGAGCAAACCATCTCTTGCATGGGAACACAAACGTCCTTGAGCCCTGAATATTTAGGAACAAAATTTAAAATTGATATAAATTTTTGAAAGACCACTCAAAAGATCCCCTCACAGAGTTGGACAATTACCCACAGTGCTTTTAATGATAAATGCTACCTCAGCTTGTGTTATATTCTTTTTATTCTTGATGACATTTTTAGAAATCAATCGTATATATAATAATATAATATATAATTGTAATACACTCACCTTTCCCTTATCCAACAACTTCCTGACCTCCACCTTATCCAGGTGCCAGGCAGCTCCAAATCCAGAACCATCATGGCCGATTCGAATCTTCTCAATACTCTCTCCGATATCTTCGAGCTAAGAGATAAGAGATAAAACCCATCACATTAGAAAATCATCATAAAAAAAAGCTCTTGAAGTACAAGATACATAGATGTCTTTATTGTCATAAGCAAAACAAAATGTTATCAATTACATATACTGTTCTTGGACAGGCAACAATAATAATAAAAGTATTAACAATAAATTACAAACATACAACCAACAAATGCAATTTCTATACAAATATAAATAATTATAATATTAATTTATTAATATGCATTTCATTAGTCATCTACACTACATGCAACCCTAACTGCAAACAAAAGAACACTTTAAGGAGGTATCTTTTCATCTTGCGCTAAACACACAATTTAATTCACTTACTTCAACCACAAATTTATCCACTTTCTTCCTTTCGAAACATTCCTTGCGTTGCTTTTTATTTTCACAGAGGCTTTTCTGGGTTGTGCTGGAGTCCATACCAAACAGAACGATAAATACATCAGAGTCTGTACCAGCTCCACCTACATCGCTTGTATACACAGTGATTTCGTATGGAACATCTTAAGAACAAAAGTTTTAAAAAACATGATGGGATGGCAATAAACAATATACAGCAGCTATCAAACAAGATGTCATTAAACATGCGCACTATTGTATGAGTACAACATGTTGTATATAAAGTATGATATAGTTAAATTATATGCACTGTAGATGTGAGACACATATTTATAGATATACAATAGTACTGTATAAGCGTATGTGTTACACATATTACAGTTCCCTAAAATATATATGCATTGTACATATTGCATCAACATGTCTTTTTACAGTTGCGTACAGGAGTAAATAACATGTTGTTATGAACAAATTTCAGTTTAATAGCATAGTTTGTGCAATGATGGGTATATATATGTTCTATTAACTTTCATACTTACGTTTTTCATACTCTTCTGTTCTTGTTGATATTGGGAATAGTTCTCTCTCTATCTGACCATCATCCTCTCCCTTATCCAGCCAACGACCGCATGGAAATTCCCACTTCTTGCCCAGAGAGGGAGCATCTATGACAACCTTGTCCAACATCCAGCCTGCAAATCCACCTTTATTATCATGCCCAATCCTATGATACCAAAAAATAGAATAATTAAATATATTGTCATTTAAATTACTCTCTTATATTGTTTCAATACACCTCAAAAGCAAAAGGTGTAGCTCTGATGTATTCCTTTTTTCTTTTTAAAATTTAGTTTATGAGAAATCACACAAATCAAAGTAATGTTGGCAGTCTCATGAGAGACATACAGTATCTGGATAACCCAATACAAGCCAACTTGCCTTTGCAGAACTTAACTATCTGAAATTATGGAATCACCTGTTGCATCCTCATTTCCATTTCCCTATTCTGCAAGGGGAAACTTGGAATTTATTGGTTTAACAAGCTAAGTATTTACAAAACAAATGGAGTAATGTACCTAATTTTCTGAATATTACCAATATTCACAGCCTCAACCACAAACTCGTCAGTTACGCCTCGTTCAAACTTGTTCTTGTTCGTCTTGGATGATTTCAAATTAATTAAACCTAAAACCAACAAATTTACGATTAGTTTAAATAAAAACCATGCAGCTTATCAGTCTATGGAGGAATTACTAATTACTCCATGATCAGTCGTACATAGAACAATGTCCTAGTGCCTCAGTGCATTAGTTCACTGGTCATTAGATTAAATGTATTTTAGAATGCTCAGCTCAGTTCTATCAATAAGTATTATAATTCGCATAGATATTGAATTCTACTACTGTAGGTAAGCCTACACATACTGTTGGTATTAAAGTCAATGTGATAAATTGCTTTGCCTAAAGACACAAGCAAATCAACCACAAAAGATTTGAACCCCAACCTCAAGAATGAGAGTCAATATTTGTATACTATGTCATGTGTAGTACTTTTTAAATTCTACTTTCACAAATGAATCTATATTTACCAGTGTCATCATTCTCGCCAAAGATGATGATGTAAACATTGGCGTCGGTACCAGCTCCCCTGACGTCAGATGTTGTCACAAACACATGATATGTTTCCATTGCAGCTATTTAAAAAAAATTATTAAATATGATGAATACCTTACATAGATAAACAAACATACATTGATAAATAAAAGCATTCATACACGGGAAATAAATATTAATATAGTACAAGATCTTCAAGATGAGATTTGTATATTTTTGCAAAGGTTAAAATTTACAGCAAACTTAGGTGTTATATCATTTTGATTCTCACCTTTAGTTTCAAGAGCAAGTTCATCTCTGATTGAAGTGAGTGATTTACTTTTAGATAATCGATTCATCAGATCTTTCTCGACTGGTACTAATTCTCTAGATATCTGTCCATCGTCTTCATTGGTTGATAACCAACGTTGACAAGGAAAGTAATATCTGAACAGAAAGAAAAAAAAAATTACTATATAAATATTTCATACATAATTACTTCAGTTTTTTTTATTGTGTGTGAAGCCCTGTTAATACTAACAAATTTTATTTGTCATGCCTAAATATTGTCATGATGACATCACATCATGACCATATATAGGCACATTGTAACTATATATGGGCATACAACAGCTTTTGACAGAAAATATGATAGTGTGGACAGAGCTTTAGTCTCTTTTGAATTAACTTACTTGAGTACAAGTTTTGAAGTATGCTTATAGTGATCTTCTTACCTAGCATTATGCTTCTTATCTTCAACTTCGACCCGATCTAAGAACCACGATGCTCCAGTACCTGAGTTGTCATGTCGTATTTTCAGTTTAGATAAGTTGCCCAAGTCAGCTGCTTCAACTTTAAACACATCTTCCTGCAAGGAAATATAAAATAAAACAGTTTTTATTTCATTATATTCAGTAATAAAATACATCAATTAACACTAACTACAACAAAATGATAAAAAGAAAACATCTATAGAAATGTATAACACCACATATCACTTGTAATAATCATCTTTTTTTTTATTTTGAATAATAAGTATGTTTGGTATTGTTGATATGTAATTATTGAGAGTGGTAGGGATTTTGGTGTATCCACAATTAACATTATAGAGATACTTTAATGCTGAGTGTCCTTTTGCAAAACCCACCATGAAAATTAACAGAAATGTCTGTCTTAGCATGGTTTATATTATAGATAATGAATTACTTAATTTTCTTTGTTTGTCTTTATACCAGTTCAAATCTTGCATTTAATTACTTTTTTAGGTCTCATAGTAAATGACACTGGTACAGGGGATGCGTTTAAGCACTGTCCAGATTAGCAAATTTTCTTTAACAAAAAACTGTTGTATGCCCATATATAGTCATGATGTGCCTATATATGGTCATGATGTGATGTCATCATGACCATATTTAGGCATGTCATGTTTTTGTCAAATATAATCTGATAGTCTGGACAGAGCTTAAGACAAGTTGCAAAAAAGATCAGCTCCAAAATATCAACTCCATATACAGTTTCATTTAATAATGTTTGCTTCAACTTTACCTGATTTCTCTCAAACTTGTTCCGATGAGTTTCTGAGTCTTTCATTCTCCTCTCCCCAGTGTCGCCCTTTTCACCGAATATGTTGAGAAACACATTTGCATCAGTTCCCCCACGAAATTTGTCTCCCGTAAAGACTCGCACTATATACTCAGAAACTGTACATCAAAGAAAAGTTTACACATTTATAACAAATTTATACAGCTTTATAAAGTTTAAGTGGAGAGTAATAATGGTGGTGGACTTTAATGGATAGGCTGTAAATTGTGTCAAGATTTACATGTATAAGTAGTTTGAAAGTTGAAGGTGAGTACTTCCAATCCCTGCAGGGTCTTGGGTTTAAATAACTAACAAAACTTCACATGGGTTCTTAGATTTGGAAAATAAGCGAATAATACTTACTAACGAGAGAATTTCTTCTAAGTACTTTCCCATTCTCATCTGTGGGCACAAGTTCTCTCACAATCTGTCCATCATCCTCTCCCCTAGCTAGCCATCGGTTGCACACAAAAATATACTTTGTTGTTTCTTCCTTTTCTTCATTTTTTTCTTCCTCACTATCATTCAGTTTGTCTTTGGACTTCCTTCTTTTCAGCTTTCCCTTTGTGTCTTCTTCATCACTTTCACTTTTGAGACTAGCTTTCGATTTTCTTCTTTTCAGCTTCCCATGATTTTGCTCATCGTCACTATCATCAAGTCTTGATTTAGATTTTCGTCTTTTAAGTTTACCTTTGTTGTCCTCGTCATCACTGGCATCAAGCTTAGATTTACATTTACTTCGTTTTAACTTTTTCTTAGGAGGAAACCTTTCAACAACGACCTAGTAAAAAACAGTACTGACATATTTCATTGCAAAAAATGTAATGTAGTTGATTTGACTTGATTTATTTATACTTGTCATTTGTACATAAGAGGAAATTATTTAATGTGAGACAGCTATTGGGGAGAAGATTTAATGACGTGCTCACTCTATCAAGGAACCAGCCTGAAAACATTCCAACACCATCATGACCAATCCTAATCTTGGTAAGAGGGCCAACATCTTCAGCTTCAATCTGGGTAAGTAAAGGAGGCAACAGTAAACATGTCATCACTTTATTTATTGTATTTATTTGTTTGATTTGTATAATGCATAATACCATCTCTATACACTTGTATTGCACTAGTTAGAGGATACTGAATCAATCTTACGATATGTTTCTACTAAGAGAGCAATGGTTCTTGAATCATTGGTAATCATGAGATTACCAAGATAAAAATAAATACTGTGCCATAAAAAATCTTTCTTGGCCTTCTGGACATAATATTACTTTGGTACGAAAGGTTGGTTCTTTGGCACAATGAAAGATTCCATTCTTGGACTTTTGTTTCTACTGCCATAGAAAATAATATTTTTAAGAAACTGTTTTTCTACACCAAGAAACACACTCATATACAATTTACAGCATCCTCCTCTACTTGGGGAGTACAAATACAAATACAGTAATCCAGTACTACCAAATTTTGCACAAAATAATTTAACAAAAAAATATGGTTTAAAATCACATTATTTTATCCTTACCTTAAATTTGTCAGTGTTGCTCTTCTCAAAGTTATCTGTTCTATTTCTTAGCTTGTGTTCCTCAGTCTTGGCACCATCTCTACCATACAGTCGAATAAAGACATTTGAGTCTGTGCCAGCACCACTGACATCTCCTGTTGTAACAGTTATTTCATATGGAATTCCTTAAAAAAAATGAAGTCAATATCAAACAAATGAACTATGAAAAAGGAACAGCTGAAGGGTGTTAAAAATAATTTTTTAAAAAAGGCATACATAACAGAGTCTATAGGATGGACACAGTGAGCATAGAACGGGTAAAAAACTATTGTGAGTAATAAATTTATATGAATTTATATAATTTCTTGTTATATCTTAAAGAAATTATTTACAAGACACTAATAAATATATAAAAAACTTACTTGGCTTAGATTTCTTGAAGTCTGTCGGCATTACCTCTATCTCAAGCTCTCCATCTTCCTCATCCTCTGCCAGCCAGCGATGGCACGCAAAGTTATACGTCTCACCACGAGATGGGATGTCAACTTCAACACTGTCCAAATACCAGCCTGCACCTGGCCCTGACCCATCGTGACCAATCTTCATATATTCAAGCTGATGGTAAAAAAGGTGACATTTAAGGTATGATGACAATAAATGTTCAATGGCTAGGTGTTTATGACATTTTCCAAACAAGATTCTAAAGAAAAAATAACTTGAACAAAAAAAAAAAATAGTGAAACACTAATTATTATTATTAAGCAATGGAATAATTTGTGTGTGTGATATTTGGGTAAAAAATTATGTATTTCATTCTTTCAAGTATAAAATTTATTGTCAAAGTGTTTTTAGTCAAACCAAAATCAAATAGTTAATGAATAATTACTTGATTCAGAAAATTGGCTGAAATACAATTGTCGAGAATATGTCCTATTTAGAAAAACAGTGGTGCACAATTTTTTTTTAAAATCCACCTTTTTACATGTCTTGAATAGAACCATGACTGACCTTGCCGATATCAACAGCTTCCAATGTAAACTTATCAGTTCTGCCTCGTTCAAACTTGTTCTTAGTGTTTTCAGCTTGCTTGAGGGGTAATAATCCGGTATCACCATCTTTACCAAACAACTTGATGTGGACATTGGCATCAGTACCAGCACTTCGCTCGTCACCTGTCTTCACTGACACATGGTAGGATGTGGCTACAGAAAGTGGGGAATATGCAAATTAGAAAAATATACAGGTCAACATTTGATTAAAAACAGAAGAATGAAAATGTCCAAGTCACGTATGAATCATGATAATGATGATGATGATGATATTAGGATTGATGATTAAACAATAATGATAATATGTTTTTAATTGCTATTTATAAGACACAACTATACAGAATACATTTCAAAAACATCCCCACAGTATGCTTACTTGAAAGTAACTGTGGCTTCCCTTCTGGAACAAGTTCCCTAACAATCAAGCCATCATCTTCATCACGATCAAGCCACCTATTTAAAAAAGAAAATATGCATTTTCATTGATTGGAAATAATATCTTAGAGATGGAAATATTCAGCAGAAATCATTTTTTTGAAAGAAGAACAGATTCAAGTTTTAGGTTGGTAGGTTTGACTGCCAACAGACTGATCCATTTCCTGTGATTAACCTCTCTCTGCAGATGCCATAGCTTGGGATTCTGGTCAGGGATTCTTATGCACTCTCTGCTACAAAATGTAAATATCGGCATTATAGTATGTATGTACAGTATTTTGCTTTCATCCTCTCTTAATATTTTGCACCACTGTACAAAGTGTAGAGAGAGCCCTTTTCTTAATGGGATTTTGTCTGTGTCAATTACTAATTACAAAGTTATGGAACACTCAGCCAGGGAGCTGAGTAGGCTTTTGATTAAATACTCAGTTTAATATTGAGCAAAAAGACTATGTCATGATGTACTAAAGACTGACATAATCATCATTAAATTCAGTGAAAGTGATGTACTGTACCTGCTACAGGGGAAAACAACCTCTGATTTTGATTTTCCCTCCTCCCTCACGATCACTTTGTCAAGGTACCAACCAGCCCCAGCACCTGCACCATCATGCCCAATTCGTACACGAGAAAGCTGTTGGAGACTCACAGCCTCTATCACAAATTCATCAATCTATAGATACAAAAAAACCAATAGATACATCAGACTAAATTGAGATAGTGTCCATCTGAGCATGGAAAGGGGGAATCAATAGTAGCCATGTATAAATGACATTAATTAAAATAGTAGATTAATAATATTTAAGAATATTACAATATGTAAAAAAAACAATTCTTCTAAAAAAAGTTAAATTAGCATTCTATCAGATTATTAAATTGTATTAGGCAAAACTTACTGCTTTCCGTTCAAATTTGTTTTTGTTAGTTTTCGATTTTTTCATTGGCCTATCACCAGTGTCACCAAGTTCACCAAAGACATTGCAATAAACATTTGCATCGGTTCCCGCACCAAACTTGTCGCCTGTCACTACCTGAACATTGTATTTCACAACTGAAACAAAGATGTCATTAAAAATATTATTTATCCTCTTTTCACTCAAGATGTAGATACCAGTTCATTCATTTATAAGAAAATAATATATGTTATATGTACTAGGGTGGAATTTTATAGTACTTTCCTGTTGGGCCTCATTAAAGCAAAAACAAAACTTTACTTACTTTTGAGTGGTTTCTTGATGCCATCACCCTCGGCTGGGAGCTCTCGGATGATCTCTCCGTCATCTTCACCAGTCGCAAGCCACCTCTGACAGTTAAATGTATACTTCTTCCTTGTGGCCACCTGCTCAACTACAACCTGTAATTGTACATAAATATAAAATAGTAAATAAAAAGTACATATTATAACACATTTAAATAGATCTTTGTCATTTCATTGGGTGATTTTGTATCATGTGACATTTGTTATTTACACCATTCATCACTCAACATGGAAATTTAGGTCCACCATGCATTATTAATTCCATCCATACAAGTAGAGTCTGGACGTTATTAATAGAGGTTGAATCTGTTATTTTTTTTAAAGTGTATGTTTTTTTTTATTGTAGAAATATATTTTAGTTAATCATTAACTAAGGCCATTTTACCTGAAAGTGGTGATAAATCACTGTGGATGGAATAAATGAATGTTTGAAGAATGTATGAATAAATAAACAAATGAAAAAATTAATGAAGAGTGAATGAATGATTGAAAGAATTAATTAATTAATGAAAAAAAAAAGAATGAATTTTGGAAATAATGAACAAACAAGAGATTGAATGAATGAATGAATGTATAAAAAGAAAAATAGAGTTCAATTGATGACCTTACCTTATCAAGATGCCAGCCTGGGCCTAAGCCAGAGTTGTCATGCCAGATTCTCATTTTATACAGCTTGCCTACATCAGCTGCCTCAATCTTAAAGTTATCTTTATCTCCTCGTTCAAATACATCACTTTTGGTCTTGAGTTCAATATCATCTGTTTTGCCTTGGTTTCCATAGAGACACATCCACACATTAGCATCTGTGCCCGCACTGCCAACATCACTTGTGAAAACTGTAACATTCCAAGCCAACTCTAAAGAAAAAAATAATAATATTTGTTTTGATAATAACAGCAGAAATAGTAATTACATTACTAAAAATGAAAGTAGCAGTATATGAATAAAAAAACATAAAGTAATTAATTAAAATTACAAAAAGACTTTTATGATGAAAAAATATAAAAGTAGTTATCTGGAAAAATAATAACTAAGTATTTCACCAATAAACATAATATTAATACTGACGATTACAAATTATTAACTTTTTCTATATTGTAACTATTCAAATTTCATGGATTAGTACTATAATTGATTTGCAATCAAATAAGTTTGATTGCAAGCATAAATATATATCATACTTTTCTTCTTTGCCTTCCTCATTGACTTGTTTTCATAGAGCGTTCTCTGAATCACACCTTCATCTTCGTCGTCTGCCAGCCACTTGTCACACGTAAACGTCTGCTCGATACCAGTCGATGGACAGCTTACGACAACCTGCATAGCCCCAAAATAAATTTCGTAGCATTAACAGGACAGTATAAATTGTGTAGTGTGATGCTTAATTTGCAATGTCAATCCATCCACAAATGCTAATAATATGCAAAATCAAAAGTGATACTGGTAGTCCATAGCCTTGTTCTGACTAGTTGGACTAAATATGTCAATATTTGGGTGTAATATGACATAATCACACTCATATGGGCTCATCACACAAATCTGACACATAAAATTTGATAGTGCAGACTGAAATTAAAAAATAATACAGTGTGAACACGCTGCATAATATTCTCCAAGTCAAATTTCTGAAGTTTAAGTAACTGAACATTGTCCAGGAAGATAAGCCAGTTGGTATTCAAGAGCAGAAAAGGCCAATGCAAACAGTGCTCTGTAAAACTTACTTCAAAAAGCTAAAAATGTTTTATACATACCCGATCCAAAAACCACCCCGCGCCACTCCCACCATTGTCATGACCAATATCAATCCGACTAAGCGGACTCAGTATTGATCCAATCTCAACATCACACACATCCGTTCGTCCACGTTCAAACTTGCCATCCAGGTTAATCTTGCCACTGGTTTGCTCGCCATTTTCGCCACCGTAGAGGACGATGTAAACATCCGCACTTGTACCAGCATACCGCTTGTCTCCAGTTGTAACCCTTATTTCATAAGGTATTCCTGAAAAAGTGATATAATTTAGCTATAATCAACACTAATCTAGTAATATTTTTATACATTATCATAATTTATAATTGATCAATACCTATCATTGTTGACTCTCATTATTCATCATCATAAGAATTGTTGCCATCTTCAAATTATTAGAAATAAACATTATACTTTTTATTATCACCATTATTATCGTTATATTACTATCACTATCATATAATCAAAAATTTTCATTAAGTCATTGTGAACTAACCTCTAGAACCTTTTCCACTGCCCTCGCAGTAGAGCTCTCGTGAAATCTTCCCATCATCCTCATCTTTTGCCAGCCACCGATTGCATGGGAATTTGTAGGTTTTATTTAAAGATGTATCATCCACTATGACCTTCAAAATGGATAAAGAACAGATATTATTGTTATTATCAGACATTCTTATTTTATTTGCATAGATCATAAAATGGCTGGTAATCAATAAATACTATATACTGTGGTAAAAAGTCAGTGAAAACTACTGAATTGTGTGGTTAGTGTTTCAAACAATAACAAAATTCTTCATCGTGCATGGTACAGTACATATGTAATTTTTCTTCATGAACTGGAGATACAGACAAATCACATGATAGAAACTATTTATTTAATTGAAATTTGATGACATACTTGATTATTTTGAGTAATATAAAGTTTAATTTGATTAAATTTATATATTTAATATATATCTCTAGATTTTACTACATCTAATGTTCATGCATCTATTTTCCCGATTTCACTGCATTTATACTGTTCATGCACATCCTGCTTTGACCTTTTCAAACAAAATGAAATATAATAAATTATTAATTTCAAAATGAATACAACAATTGAGTGTGGATTCCTTACACATCTTTGCAAATGTACTGACCTTCCGACTGCCTCAGAAAAATTATAATTTTGATGATTATGTCTCAGATAATCACTTCACACAAATTAGCATACAAATTTGCTTTGTTTGGTGTTTCACCAAAATTTCTATGACATTACTATGATATTACTACGACTACTTGACTTGCGTCAAACAGACTCAACAGATGCTAGTATCATTAAATATGATGTAAGATTATATTCTAGCACACCCTTATTTAGGACCTCAACAGTGGTGTATTAGGAATATTGATTATGGGAGGGCTGATGGAGGGGAACATAGAGAATGTGAAGGGGCAGGAGAATGAGGTAACATTTGGGGGTTTTACCTACTTGAGTGTATTTTTTTTAAATTCTAATCAGTTGTGGGTGGAAGTACAAGCTTTTCATGGATATGAGGGTTACATCATTTACTTTTTGTTGAATATCATTTTGTTTGTTCAAGCAATTTCTAAAATAAACATAAGATTGAAAAACTACACCATACAACTTACTGTATAACTAAATAGAACTTTATCCATCATACCTTATCAAGAAACCATGAGGCTCCTAATCCAGAATTATCATGACTTATTCTCAGTTTATCCAGAGCTCCAAGACCAGGACACTCGACTACAAAGATGTCTTCACTGAAATGAAATGGTTTTGATATTCTTTCTTAAGGCCTAAAAAAGCTTGTTTGTTTTTTGGTTTTTTTAAAACGTTGGATTGATCATGTTGAAAAATAAAAAATTGTCAGCTGCTACTATGAAAATGTGGTCTCATTTTAGGGGTCCTCAATTGACGGGTGAACTGAAATAATGCTTTGGCACTTATATAATATTGCACAGTGTCTCAATCACTCTATGCAAAATTTTAAAATCAGTGAAGCGTGAATACATTTTATGGTCAAGTTTAATAATCAAGCACGGTCTCAACCATTTTTGATCCATTACAATGCAAATCTAACTAAAGGACAAAACTGGACCAAAAACTGAGAAAACATTTGCGTAACATTTTCGGCGAGTCTTACCTTCCTTTTTCAAAATTATTCTTTGACGTGTTCAATTGGTGTTCACCAGAATCTCCACCTTCCCCAAAAAGCGTCAAATACACATTTGCATCAGTCCCTGCTTTTCGTTTGTTCCCAGTGAAAACGTGAACCATGTACTTTTGTGCTAATATAAATAAATACAAAATAAAAGGTTAAAGTTAATCTTATTTTGGAGAGACGTTTTACACTTTGTTTTGCAAACCCAATGTCTGCTGATAATGTTAGTTTAAAAAAAATATATATATTTTTCACCTATTAATACACCCGCTGGCATCATTTACATTTTGGAAACACAGTTTGTTGAATTATTTTTATAACACTCATCACCATGGCATCTCCTAATAAGGAATCTTCATATCTCCTTTCTTTTAAATATGAAGCATTTATCAATCCGATTACTGAATGCAACATCACATTCTTTACAAGAATAAGAATGGATCTTGAGTGATGATCTAAAAGCACCTTCTATTACTTTTTTACCTCACACACATATTTGTCAATAAAATACATATTTTTGCCTTCACTGAGATGCTTTTAGCAGAACCTGTTTGCTTAATGAGAAAATTTCTGATATATTCCTTGCCTTCCTTCCCTAAGTAACCTTAAAAAATAATGGTAACAAAGGTATAAAAAATATCTACTACACAAACATTTACATCACTGTTCCTCAAAGATTTTATTTATGATCCTATAAATTAATGCATTAACACTGACACAACAATTGCACCTCAACTCAAAAATAACATCAACTTGGTTCTTAATGCAATCACAGTATATTTGTGCGTAGTGTAAGCCTAGAAAGCCTACTAATAACACACAAATCAATGATGCATCACAACGTTCAGTTTTAAAACATGTTTAGAATGCCATTAACATTTCAAAGGTTTTCCAATGCACATGATGAAAGAGATATAAAAATAGATGGATATTTTATTCATATTCTTAAATAAAATTCAACATTATTCTTATTATCATTTAAATAATGATAATTGATATTAGTCTAAAATTTATCTTGCTTCTATGTGTGTTCCATCAGAATTTTCTGTTATTAATGCTTTTAAAAAAAATTAAATGTGGAACAAAAACCAAAGGAAAAACAACTTGAAGGGAATTTGTACACTGCAAAATCAGATTCCACATAAATCAATGCTTTTTAAATACCTTTAACAGGAATATTTCAAAAGTAAGATTAAAATTTCAAGGTTTTAATTATACATACTAGAAGATACTAACTGATGTGTCATGTATCGTTTGTTTTCACTGCTCATTATGTTTTATTGATGAACATGACCTTATACTTGTCATTTTTTTATATAACTCTATAGACACACAGCTAGGGAGTGTTTAGGAATAACAAAAAGAATACTGTACTAATGTGAATGTTGAGATTTTCATATTTTGTATAGATATTCAGTAATGGTAATCATATCATATACATTTCAATGAAAGTTTAAAATGTATGGTAAAAAGCTAGCGATATTTTTGCAATACCTATTAACTTAAAAATGACACAAATCTTAATTTATATTTTCGAATACCTAGGGGTTATTTGCAACGTCTACTGTATTAAAATGAGATGGAGTTTTACTTACATTTTCTAACAGCTAGGGGGTTTTTGCTGCCAAGTAGATCCCTTGAGATGAGTTTGTCTCCTTCGTCTCTTGCTAGCCACTGGCTACATGGGAAGTAATACTTAGATTTCTTTGGATTCTTCAGATCAGTTACGACAACACGCTCTAGGAACCAGCCTGGAGAAAATCCTGTGTTATCATGTTCTATTCTGTAGGACAAAAGCAGTAACTATATAATTCTTAATTACATTTTAATTAAGTTTAATTGCACATAAATCAATGTTTCACACTTTATCAATTCAACTGTACATTGTTTATGGTACTTAAATACACCAAAATATAATGCCTTTAATGAATTATGATCAAACAGTTGTTGTACAGTTGGATAAAATATTTGATCCCAAATACAGCCTTGGTTACAAATACGTTGAAAATTTATCAAAATAAAAATTATTTCTTTGCAACTATAATAAAATAATAATAAAATTAATAATAATAATGCAACCAATCAACTAATCAAATGACATATACATTACATGTGTATATACACACAGATAAGCTCATGAATTACAAAAGAATTTAACCAATTATGGCTCCTTTTAATGCGAGACTTAAGGCCTTGCAGAATGTGAGGCAGACACTTGAAAACATATCATCATACTGTACCTAATTTTTTTCAGAGGTCCAACACAATCGCATTTGTGCCTGAATATATCACTCATCCCCCGTTCAAACGATTTCCCATGCGCCTTCAGCTGAAACTTACTGCACGACCGGCGTGCCCCAAAAAGTGTTATGTACACATTGGCATCTGTGCCTGCACCCCCAACGTCACCAGTAACTGTTACTATCTCATATTCTGAAAATCAGAAGCGAAATTTACAATCAGATAAGATCAACTTTGTTACTATTATAACCAACAAATGGCAAACATAAAATGTTTTAAACACAATCATAAATATATATACAGTACACATAATACATTACACCTTAATCTACCTACCTATAGAACATTGAGTTAATTTTACATTGGCAGCTGAGTTGTGGCAAATAATTTAAGAGAGCGTAGAGTAGGCTACCTGATCTAATAGATTTATTACAGTATATTGCTAGTTTCATGAATTTAAGAGGGGTCATTCTTCATCTTATTTTATCGAGGCTTTTCAGTAGTTTGGTTTTCCAAACCCACGGTACTGCAAGATTATAGGAAACTATAGGAAAATTATCAAAGGATAATGTACAATTTCATATAAAATTTGTATAGTTCTGTACAACATACATAAATGATGTTCAAATACTATCTTTCCATATTACCTACTTACCTGTTTTCCCATACTTCTTTGCATCTACAGGTGTTAAGTTTCGAGATAGTTGGCAGTCACTATGAAACAATGAAAGCCATTGACCACAGAAAAATAACCATGACTTCTTTGTATGTAAATTAGTTACTTTGACCTCTTCCAACAACCAGCTGTCTTTCTTTTCAAGTCCATCATGCTGAAATGTGTAATACAATTTATATTAAAATCATATAGAAGTCAATAAAAAAAATATTTGACATCAGTAAATTGTAATCTTTAAAAATACTCTCAAATATTCACCCCTCAAAAAAGTTCTTTCTTTTCATAAGCTTTTCCTAGTGCCACTTTTAAGAATTATTTGTAAAATATAGCTGTATATATTTCTATTATTCTTTTAATATTATTATTAGTTACAGTCAATTTGGTGTACATGGGAAGGCCCCAAAGTATTAAAAGTTGGTAACAGGGATGTTTATTATTTTCCGGAGCCTTAACACTAGGTACAGTATATTCAATTAAACTCATGCGCAGAGAGACAATTAATTGTAAGACATCATAGATAGTGTTAGCATCGAATAGAGTGATGTAATTACTATACTGTACCATTGCATCATAGAGCATGTAACAAGCACTTGTTATTGAATTAAGTTGAAGTGTGTGCATGGGCATGGTCCTGCTGTTCGACATGGTATAAATTAAATATCACTTAGTAATTGTTGCTACAAATTGACCAATTATAAACACATTGAAAAGATAATAAATCATTTGAAAAATCTCTAAAAGCTGTCTAACAGAACATGTCACTTAGGTTGGATTCGGACGTAAACTCAATTACATGGGGAATCTACTAATAACCTCGGGGCTAAATGTGACGGTCGTTCGGACGAGTAAAATAACAATCCATTTACCCATTAATTTGACGGAAGTTACGTATTTTACAAGCTTCTGCAAGGTCAGAATTCTGAATAGTTTGTGACCTGAGTGACGACCCCGTGTCAAATTAGCAATGTTTTCGCGGCAATTTCAATACTTCATACACGAATTTATGCTATTTCTGCTTACTTTTTATACAATTTACTCATTTCCTTGTGATTATCCTTACAAATTGACGCCGAATTATGATTAACCCAGCCAACCTAACTATCGTGACAACTTTTATATTGCTTCTCGACGACGGATTTGATCTAAACCAAGCTTTTTGACGAAGAAAGTACAGCAACGACGAAGACAACGACCAGCGTGGAAAGAAAGCTTGGGCAACAACGCGAAGAATCATGCAGCGTGGTCGTGAGCTTCTTTTTGTCCAGTGCAATCTGACCCGGCGTTGTTAACAAATCTGAAGGGTCAACTTGTGACCTGGGCCTTGTTACGGGTGTTTAATTACGCCTTGAGGCAAGGTGTAATTGAAATATCCAGTAAAAAAGGTGGGTTTTTGGGCCAAATGTTTTTCGAATTTTCTATACCCAGGGGCATTATTTAATTGCCGCACGCGACCGCTCAGCTGGTGGTACCCAGTTAAATTTTACTCGTCCGAATCGGACCTTAATCAGCTCTGTATGTATTTATAGTTGGTTTATACACAATTAAATAAATCCTACTGAATCTTGTCAGCGGTCACAACCGCCATGGGTATTAAGTCTTCAATCTATGTTTGTTATAACACACAATACCTCAAATGCTGCTGTAGGTACTTTTACACTTTGCATTGGTTTAATTAAATAGATTAGAATCCATGCTACAATTCAAACAAGTATTTATAATATTACTTTAGCTTCATAGTCTCATTAAGTTCACTATCCATGGGGAGCTACAGGTTCCATGTTGATACCAAGGCTAATATTGGTATTAATATTAGATTTATTGTGCAAGAAAGCCTTGCCTTGCTACTATAATGTATTCAAATAATAATTACAAAGTGCAACATATTTTTAGGCTGTATTATGGTAATATTAATCTCATGCTTAATATAGTATTAACAAATTTGATTCATATCGTCGCTCACATCACGAACTAACACAAACGAATTTATGCTATTTCTGCTTACTTTTTATACAATTTACTCATTTCCTTGTGATTATCCTTACAAATTGACGCCGAATTATGATTAACCCAGCCAACCTAACTATCGTGACAACTTTTATATTGCTTCTCGACGACGGATTTGATCTAAACCAAGCTTTTTGACGAAGAAAGTACAGCAACGACGAAGACAACGACCAGCGTGGAAAGAAAGCTTGGGCAACAACGCGAAGAATCATGCAGCGTGGTCGTGAGCTTCTTTTTGTCCAGTGCAATCTGACCCGGCGTTGTTAACAAATCTGAAGGGTCAACTTGTGACCTGGGCCTTGTTACGGGTGTTTAATTACGCCTTGAGGCAAGGTGTAATTGAAATATCCAGTAAAAAAGGTGGGTTTTTGGGCCAAATGTTTTTCGAATTTTCTATACCCAGGGGCATTATTTAATTGCCGCACGCGACCGCTCAGCTGGTGGTACCCAGTTAAATTTTACTCGTCCGAATCGGACCTTAATCAGCTCTGTATGTATTTATAGTTGGTTTATACACAATTAAATAAATCCTACTGAATCTTGTCAGCGGTCACAACCGCCATGGGTATTAAGTCTTCAATCTATGTTTGTTATAACACACAATACCTCAAATGCTGCTGTAGGTACTTTTACACTTTGCATTGGTTTAATTAAATAGATTAGAATCCATGCTACAATTCAAACAAGTATTTATAATATTACTTTAGCTTCATAGTCTCATTAAGTTCACTATCCATGGGGAGCTACAGGTTCCATGTTGATACCAAGGCTAATATTGGTATTAATATTAGATTTATTGTGCAAGAAAGCCTTGCCTTGCTACTATAATGTATTCAAATAATAATTACAAAGTGCAACATATTTTCAGGCTGTATTATGGTAATATTAATCTCATGCTTAATATAGTATTAACAAATTTGATTCATATAATCTGCATACTGTTTTTTGTGTTACCATATGAAAACATCCAGTAATTGGGAGGAAAAAAAGCTGGCATACCTCTATTGTAAGAGACGTTAAATCCCCAATTTCTGGGCCTTTAAGATTAAAAACCTTGCTTGTGTTTCTATTGAACTTGCAGTGGACTGGGCCAGACTTGGTTTTGGTCTGTTTCTTGGTCAACTTCTTCTTAGGGAATTTTCCTTTACTACCCTTCATAGAGACAAACACCTACATTCACACAGTAAAAAAATAGCAAAGTATACATTCTGTTGTGATGTGAAAGACTTTTTTTCAATATAATAATAATAATAATAATAATAATAATAATAATAATAATAATAATAATAATAATAATGATATAGTGTAGCTTGATATGTGGGCTACTTAACAACTTTCTTCACCCCTAAGGGTCCCTTCGTGTCTGTAATCCAGTACCAGCAACTCTCGTCATCCACCACAGGGGCTGTCTGTACCAGTACAGTACACCGGAGTATGCCCTACGTCATCTCGAATGATGCACTGGGTTCTTTACAGTGCACACAAGCTGTGGTATACCCTGGGCCTACAGCTTATAGTCCTTATGCGAGAAGACTTGTTTTACCACCATAGACGAGTGTGCCAATCGAACCAGCACAGATATTATCTCTGTAGGTTGCGGTGCCCCTGCCCTAACCGCTTGGCCATTCAACTTGCCTAATATTATGAAAAGTAAATAGGTATATAGTTACTTACATTTGCTGATGTCCCACATCCTTTTTTATCCCCTGTTTTCACTTCAATCCTGTATACCGTTTCGGAATTCTTAGCACTCCCTGGCCGGTGTGGACGGAGACTATTTGACGACCTAGCGCTGGTTGCCCTTCGTTTCTGAAAGAAACAAAATTATTATTGTTCAAATCTTTCATTTTGCTGTGCAATTCACAATTATTTTATGATACAATGGATCTTTGCTTAGATTTAAATCCAGTACTTCGATAAAAACACAAAAATTCTGACAGAAATCAAGATCTAATACACATTTCATTATATCACTCTCAATAAAATAACAATTGACAAAAAGCATTAATAAAGTTATTATTACAAATCATTTTTGCTGACATATAGAATATTATTATCGCTATTATTTGCCTGGAAACGAATTATGAAAATTTACAAATTTGTGATGCAAAATCAAACACTTAAATATATTGCTTTCAGATGTATCATTACCATATTTTATTGTAACTGAATTGTTATTATTACAAATCATTTTTGCTGACATATGGAATATTATTATCGCTATTATTTGCCTGGAAACGAATTATGAAAATTTACAAATTTGTGATGCAAAGTCAAACACTTAAATATATTGCTTTCAGATGTAGAAACTGATCCTGAGTAATAAGTACTCCACCTTAATGCAAGTTGGCACAAAAGCTGAGAATGTGCTTAGCCAAGCAGAATACAAAGTTAATACCCTAGAAATAAATGGCACGTAAATTTACAATCCGTCTCATCGTCATTACTTGCGATACAACCCCATTAACATTTGAAGATTGAAGAATATTGGATTCTGTAAGGAGATACTACAGTAAACGCTCACTGAGATGAGTTAGACAGGAAAGGCATCAGAGATAATTAGAATGAAACATACAATAGTCGAATAGTTGAGAAAGCTTTGTATTCAGTCAAGCACGATACATTTAAATAAAATACTATATAGTTTAAGACTGTCAATTGATTTTGGGTACTAAAATATAATTATATTAATATTGATAATAAATTAGAAAATAAATCAATAATGGTAAAGTTAAAAAGCAAAGTAAAATTATTTTATTATTTCACCTAAATTCATTTTCATTCAACACCAATTAAAAATTTACCAAAGGTGCTAAGCGAGGAAATAAGGCAAGTTAACATTCCTGTAATAAAAAGGTTTTGAGATTTTCCTTAAAAAAATTCACAAAGTAAAATTATTTTATTATTTCACCTAAATTCATTTTCATTCAACATGATTTTCCTTAAAAGAAATCACGCTAAGCGAGGAAATAAGGCAAGTTAACATTCCTGTAATAAAAAGGTTTTGAGATTTTCCTTAAAAAAATTCACAAAGTAAAATTATTTTATTATTTCACCTAAATTCATTTTCATTCAACACCAATTAAAAATTTACCAAAGGTGCTAAGCGAGGAAATAAGGCAAGTTAACATTCCTGTAATAAAAAGGTTTTGAGATTTTCCTTAAAAAAATTCACAAAGTAAAATTATTTTATTATTTCACCTAAATTCATTTTCATTCAACATGATTTTCCTTAAAAGAAATCACAAAGTAAAATTATTTTATTATTTCACCTAAATTCATTTTCATTCAACATGTTTAGAATTTTAAAAATGTATAAATATAACACTTTTTTTTTTTTAAATACAGGCATATTGTAAAGACTGTTATGAAAAACAAAAGGTTTTCAAAGAAGCAAAAAAAAAAGTTTTTAAAAGGAAAATTCCCTATTGTCGACTAATGGACCAAATAAAACCTTTATTGACCAAATATGACACAAACGTTATATTGGAAATTCTTATTAAAGACACAAGCAGAACCCTACCAATGAAATCAAGTTACACAATCATGAATAAAAATAACAACTGTGGGTAACTTTTTGTTAAAATCATAGCATATTTTATTATACAGTACTTGTATAAAAAATTATGTTATATTTAAAAATGATGTTTTGTCAACTAAGTCTCTTTATGAGGTTTAGTGAGTGGAGGTAATATTTTTAGTTGTGAGTAAAAAAACACAGTTATAATAAACTATTTTTTACTGGCTTTATTTAATAATATTTCAACAAAGTTTTGTCCAGACAAAGCTATCATTTGAATAAATACATAAAATCAAAAAAATCAAAATTTATAGTATGACCACCAATACGATACTTGGCTATCAGTGGAGATATAAAGCTGTTATATTTAGTCAAGCATGATACATTTAAATAAAATATTATACAGTTTAAGACTGTCAAGTTGATGTTGGGTAGTAAAATATAATGATGTTATTGATAATAAATTACAAAATAAATCAATAATGGTAAAGGTAAAAAGCAAAGTAAAATAATTTCATTATTTTACCTAAATTCATTTTCATTTAACATGTTTAAAATTAAATAAATGTATTAATATAACACATACAAAATACAGCCATAAAAATAAATATTATATATTTTAAGACTGTCAAGTTGGTGTTGGGTACTAAAATGTAATGATTTTATTGATAATAAATTACAAAATAAATCAATAATGGTATAGGTAAAAAGCAAAGTAAAATAATTGTATTATTTTACCTAAATTCATTATCATTCAACATGTTTAAAATTTAAATAAATGTATTAATATAACACATACAAAATATAGCCATAAAAAATACCAATTTAAAATCATACAAAATGCTAAGTTTAAGCCTGTAATTTTAGTGATATACTAAGTCTCTTTATGAGGTTTAGGGAGTGGAATTTTAGTTGTGTGTAAAGAAAAACCAGTTATTAAATAAACTATTTTGTACTGGCTTTATTTGATAATATTTCAACAATGTTTTATCAAGACAAAAGCTATCATTTGAATGATACATAAAATCGAAAAATCTAAATTTATATTGTGACCACCAATATGATACTTAACTATATGGAGATATAAAGCAGTTGTTAAAAAAACAATCGTGCTGTATTCATGATACCACAGTATACTACTATAAACAATGTATTTGAACCAATCCATTGAATGCATTAACACGCTGACTGTACAGTATACAGATCTACCCATCAAGATGATAAACGAAATGTTGTAGAGTATGCAATGACAGCTCATCAATTATGTACTCTTAGATAACACTACCTCAGCTGGCCTTAGCCAATTTCTATTCATTGTATACATTGAAGACTTAATAACAAAATCATGTTTGAAGCATGATTAACAACTCAGGGCAATAACAAAATTTCATGTTAATGAGGTGATAATCACTGAGAATATAGTAAATTGGCATAAAATTGATTCATTTTTGCTAAATGCGAAGCAAATAATAATAATAATAATAATAATAATAATAATAATAATAATAATAACAATAATAATAATAATAATAATAATAATAATGATAATAATAACTACTGTCCCTCTTCCTTTAATGATTTTGTTAGATCAAGTGATTGTGATGGGTGTTTGATATATGAAGGCCAAAACCAATACCTTTATAAAGTCATCTTTTGTAATTTTTCCAAGACTTTGGGAACAACTTGAAGTACAAATTCAGCAATCCTCAACCACTTCTGATTTCAAAGCTCAACTAACTAAATACTTGATTGCAAAATATTGATTTGTTTTCTTAACTTTTTCATATTTGTGTTTTTCTCTTCATATTTTGAATATTTCTTGTTTCTACAAATTTGCCTTTCTTTTTTACTGTACAAAAATTCTGAGTTAATTTCAAAACAGAATTTTTAATTTAGTTAAGTTTTTAGTATTTTAAGTTAATTTTAAATCAGTTATGCTGTTCAATGTTTCACTTTTGCCTTTACTGTATGTTTTGATGATGGAGCATGGGCAGTTTACTGAATGGGCTCGTGCCTATTCCTTGCTCCTGGCAAGATTGTACTTTTACTCTGCCGAATAAATATTATTATTATTACTATTAACAAATATTTATATAGCACCAATTAAAAATTTACCAAAGGTGCTAAGCGAGGAAATAAGGCAAGTTAACATTCCTGTAATAAAAAGGTTTTGAGATTTTCCTTAAAAGAAATCACAAATTAGCGGCAGGGAATTCAAGTATAGAGAGCTTAAAAAAGAAAAGCTTGTTGACCATAAGTTTTTGTTTTGCCTTTACGAGATGGAACTGTCAAGAGATTTTTAGATGATGAATGAATATGGTGAAGAGGAACATAGTGGGTAAGGTGATTTAGTATAAATAGACAGGTTGGAAGAAAGCTAATTATAATAATATTAAGCGGATAGAGGTTGGTCTATATGTGCTACATAAGTTGACAATTATTATTATTATTATTAATTGAATTGAAAGTCAACAAAACTAACTTAAAAATAGCATGTTTTTTTTATAGAGCCAGTGTAGCTTTTTTTAGGTGTTAGGGCAACAATACACGCAAATTATGGCACAACAACCTTTTAATCACTACAAATGTTAAATTACACTTACAGTAACTACTCTGACCCAAAATTTCAGGTGACCATTCATTTTAGCTTGAAATTATGATATACACTTTTTCACACTAATTGAATCAGGCATAACTTCAAGAAAAAGAATAAATTTAACTTACTCCTGCAGTGGAATGATGATATGCTTCCAGGCCAAATTTTCTGGCAAAATAGTCAGTAAGATGTGGGTCACCTAGGGATGAGTACGATGGAAGGTACACCTTCTTCCCGTTCTCAACTCGTGGATACGACATCATACGCATCTGGTTCTCTCGATTGATTGTTTCAAATGGACGCCCTGAAAAAAAATACTAATATTAAATGCTGACAAAAATATAAAAATTGAAACGTAACAGAAGAGGAAAGAAAGAAAAAACTCAGCCTCCACCAGGCACTATGTATGTGTCTTAATAATATGAAATATGTATAACTCAGGAGGAGCACCGGAGTGCTCAAAACATTTGAATTAAAAATTTAAAAACTTGTTTGTGTAAATATCAATGTATACATTTGTACTTTATGTAATCATACTTATTTTATATATATATAATTATATACATATTATCATATACGTAAAAACTGTAATGTTATTTAGTTTAAATAAATACTTTTACATTTAAAATATAAATTGGCATCTCAGTTGAATAAATAAGAATAAGATCAATTCAACTAACAATGACACCCTATCTTTACCTGCATGGTGTTTTGGTCTATAAACATATCTAGAGTCTATAGTTTGTTGCTGTGGTAACCTTTGATGACTTGACACATAGTCTGAATAGGAATCTGTCCATCTGTCGGCAGCAACCTGTTTCCTTATTGGCGCTATAGTTTAAAAGAAAAATCCATTATGAATTTATGATTACAATGTGTACATCAAAATATCCTACACTATAAAAACATTGATATAAAAAAATTAATTGTTTTTTTATTTAGAAAAGTTAAGTTTAGTTAATTACTAAATAATATACATTGTTTATTAGCTATCGGCTACAGTCTGTTTACTTATTAGCGCTACAGTCTGTTTACTTATTAGCGCTACATTTAAAAAAAAAATTCATTATGAAATTAATGATTATATTGTGTACATTACATTTTACTATCTATAAAAACACTACATTGGTATAAACAAATGAATTGAATTTTATTTAAAAAGGTTACAAAAGTTATCAATTAATAAAATAATATATATATTTAAAATATCAAATATAATATGTATAATTTGGCAAATAATCAATAATAATACCCAGTTGAAATTAGAATAAATAACAATTGAATAACAATTTTTATAATAATGATTTTGGTATTTTCATTTTTTCTCTTTATGAATGTTTTTTATTGTCCAAGCTTTTTTGCTATTTAAGTATTTCTATGTTTATTGTGAATTGTTGTTTTTTGCTTGTTAATATAATGCAATTTAGTTCTTATTACTACAACATTATATTTGGCAATACTTTTTGACCTTTGTACATTTATACTTTAATGTTTGAATAAAATATACCATGAGAACTGAATTGAATTGAATTGAATTAGAAGTTATCTATTTTTTTGCTTTGTTCTCCATCGCTTTTCCCACTCTTTCTATCCTTACCTGATTTGGGGCGTGGATTGCCTACAGCATATGGAGGACGTGGTTCCATCGTATAAACAGGCTGCGTTGCATAACCTGAGGTCATACTCAGGCTCTCCCGAACTCCATCTGAGCTTGAATATCCCCACATCTTTCTAATCTATCACATTCATTCTAGAACAAACCATTAAATTTAGATATTTCAATATAGCATGCTTAAAATTGCATCTTGTTACTGTCTGTTTGCAGTTGTATTGTTTTATAATAATAATAGAAGATGGATTTATGTAGCCCAAATAAACGAGGTTTCTACGCGCTTGACAATACTGTAGGTAAGAAGACAACAGAAAAGGACAGAATAAAAAGCGAGAAAAAAAGAACCAAAAAAAAAGAAAAAAAAAAACAATAAACACCAATCTAGCACCCAAACCAAAGTATGGGGTTATGCCGTCACCGCCAAATGGAGAACTGTGTTTTATGTAAGTTTTGATCTTTTGTAGGATCAGGTGCCACAAAATGCTAGTTAGCAAGGTGAAACAAAGAATTCAAAAAAAGAAAAAAAACAATGTAATTTATTAATTTTTAAGTATTTTACTAGCCATTTTAATGTATATTTTATCTATATGAAACTAATGACTTAAAAATGTACTCCTTATCACTGTTTTCATGCACGAATAAAATTAAATCTCAATCTGATTTACTGTATACATTCCATAACAATTGTTTCTATGTATAAAAATGTAACATATTAGATCTACTTTGCTAAAAAAAACCTGATCTTTTCTTTTTTTTTATATAGAAACATTACTCCTGAGCAAGTGTAATGCTATACAATACATATTAGGGAATAAATTGTAAAATGCATTCCTTTACAGCAAAAGGCAATGTGTCTTGAAAAGTAGACTTATAGCCTCAAAGTATAAAGATGGAAAATGATGATATGATATGACGAAAAATGAACATATATATGACAATTACTGTAGAGTAATCCAATATTTTGTTGATAACTGTCTTGATTACTAACATGTGATATACCATCCAATAACAAACAAGAAGTCAATACTGTGCAGTAGCTGTTACTATAGTGACTGGTAATGATTCCTAAAAAAACAAAGCAATTAACATTCCATACACAAGAGGATACAATACCTGTACAAGCAAATATTACAGTAACTTATTAAACAGCTACTGGCAATAATTTAATATTACCCTGTGCATTATAGTTGAATGAGATTTTTTCAGGCATGAATTGTGTTTTTGTGGCATAGCAACATAAAATTAATATGAATTGAACCAGTGAACTGAAAATAATTCCAAAATAATAGGCATGAATTGTAAAGAAGTAAATGAAAGTGACATTGGAATATGTGTTTCATTCTTTTCCTATAACAAAAAACAATTGCATTTTTCACCTATGAATTTGAAGATGTAGTACAGTGATAATAATATAGCATTTTTTGTATATTTGAGTTTGATTGTTTTCACAAAAGGCTAATTACAGAATCAATTATGATAGATAATAGTTCATCTATGTTGGTTTGTAATATAAAAAATATTTTGTTGGAATTAAAGCTTAAACTAAATTTTAAAAATGATACTTTAAATCTTACTATTTTTTTAAACTGAGTATGAATTAATTAAATAATTAAAGATACAGTATACAATATAAATATCTAAGAGTTCAACTGTTAAATAAAATGCTTTGACAGATATTATCATTACAGTATACTATAAAAACATCTGACAAACATTTGACATTAATTCTCTAGGGTACTTCAGTGTCAATGGCGAATCTAGTGGGGTGACGTGTGGGTGCACCTAAAAAATATAGCGGCCCATGGTTTCCCTGCAAAAAGCATGTTTAGGTAGATAAAAATCACCTTATCACCTATTTTGCAAGCTAGTTTAGTGCCCCTCATTTAATGACCAAGCCCCTACTCCACATTTGTACCCCCATCAGCTCCCACTGAACCCATGGGTGCACTCCTTTTTATTCCTCTTTCCTCTCTTCAATTAAAATTTTTCTCCCTCTTTTTTATTTTTCGACTTGACTGATGGGGGGGGGGGGGAAACGCCAAACCAAAAGGGCATGCAGAGACAATAATTTAATACTGTAATAGTACAACATAATATAGTACTACCACCAGTAGTAGCAGAGCTTTGTCTATAGGTATTGTTGTATGTTTTTGGTCATGTGAGAAAATGGGACCTCCCACTGTACCAATGTCATAAAGCTGGGTATAATCAGCCGGTAAATACACAAAAAGGTGACGTTGTAAATTTGTTTTACAAGAACTTCTAAACAAGACCACGACAATACTTACTGAGTGAACGCAATTTGAGTACAGTGTCTTCTTCTTGGGTAGGTGTGTTCGTACTCTGGTAATACTAATATCAATCCTGAATGGTATACATGTATTTGGAAACTGCAGATGTTATTCCACGCGTGGCTTCCATTCAGTGATCGTTTCTGCTTCTATTATTGATTTCTCCAAGACCGTACTAAATTGTCTTCTCAATGAAATACTTTACACTGTGCAAACAGTCTTTCCAACTTGTTATGATGGTCGCCCATGGTAGCTGAGCAAATTCGCGCAGACTCAGATCAATCAAATTTTTGCTCTTTAAAAATGACGTCACTCGATTGCCTAATAAACTAGACGCTGTTCATCCGCCAAAATTATGATGAAAATATTGAAAACACTATTTAGTCAGCTTTTACTTATGTTGTATATAGCTATATTGGAATTTTGTCTCATATATAGTTTTCAAGCATTTCAATACTTTGTTTGCATCCGAAATAATAAAATGCATCATTCAATGGAAAACTGAAAAACTGCAAGTCTAGTCTGACGTCTGCAAAGAATCTATTTTCTAGGCAGCTAGGTTTTAGTTGTTTGTTCTTTACGGCTTGCTCTTCGTCTCTTATGTCCCCTTATCTTGCTCAAAAATTGTTGTAAATACAAGGTTTGTCGACCAGGCGGTGAAGTTTGAAATGTGGATAATTTACTTCAATTAAGACTTCGCTTCTATTTTGATATATTCGTGAATTTATGATTAATGGAGATGCACATCGAAAAGGGCGTTTTCCATCTCATGAATGCTTTCGTTATGTCCTTCCATAGGCTAGGCCTCTAGGTCTCCCTCCTGACGTGGAACGTGGTACAACATGCCTGGGTATCGGGGACACCAGCTAGCCTACGCCTAGGCTGGCTAGGCCTAGCAAGTCAACTGTTGCCTGAGCACTAACCCAGTCAACTCACCAATTGATTGGCAAACATAAGCATACAGCATAGTCCCTCTGGCCTAGGCCTACCCTAGGCCCTAGATAGTATAAATTTGTAATCTCAGGCTTAGCTCTACTAAAAAACAATGATGGCTTCCAAGACGGCTAGTACACCAACAGAGCCGGAGATTTCAACAAATGATGAGGCTAGTCTTTTTGGTAGCAATGGAAATGAATATTTTGAACTGCGAATTCCAGAAAATATCGTTGAATTACAACAAGGACAAACTCTATCTGAAGAAGAGTTGAATGAATTTGATAAATGTCAGGGCGAAATTGATAACTTCAAATTGGAAGTGCTCAGGTGCAAGTTGTGCAAGTACAGGTGCATATTCCGTGAGGAAATTATACATCATATGAAGAATGTCCACTTTGAAACAGAAAGAGACATGTCATCAATTGCAACTGTTATCGATGTTCTCATGGAAGGGTTGTCGTCAGAAGTCCAGAAATCCCAACACTACCTTGACATGAATTCTGGCAGCCACATTGATAACAATAGTGATAATACAGAACAAACACTGAATGAATCAGATAGCAACATTGTACTCCCGAATGATGGGCAAACTATTGCATTGCCAGATGTATTGTCAAACAGCCAAGATGACGAGCAGCATTTTGATTCATCAGAACAAGTGGAACAGAAATCAAGTGGTGGTGAAGCTGCTAACCATGTGCCATACCAAGGTGAACTAGAAACACCACTGGGTAGGCCTAAGAAGGGGGTCAATGCTGTACTCCATTCCCGAGTGGACCTCACAGCCATTGCTAAATCTGCAGCAGCGTGTAACCCGAAGGCAACCAGGATAACTGTTTTTCAACATCTCAATGATTCTGACATTCCTTCTGCAATACACTTTCGTAAGAGCAGCAAAAGTGATGCTATCATCCCAACCCGAGATTCTCTAGGCATCACATCTCCCTTTCTAAACAAAGATTATCGTGGCAAAAAGCATTTTGCTTGCACTCAGTGTCATTCACGATACAAAACAGAAACAGAACTAACAAACCACATTCAAAAGAAACACAAACGTGGTCAATCAGTACTCTGCGAAATATGTGGCTTGGAACTTGCCTCACAGATAAGTGCGAAATACCATGCTGCACGTATGCATATGACGAAAAGTGAACTCTTCCAATGCAATAAGTGTGATTACATGACAAGGTTTGAAAAGCGTCTAGAAATACATCGTGCGAAACATCAATCTGAATTTTACTGCGAGGCATGTAAAAAATCATACGTGAGCCAGCAAAAACTAGATAAGCACTACCAGTCACCAATGCACAAGCACATCATTAATCCGCTGATATGCGAACATTGTGGATATAGCTCAAACAAGAAAGACAACTTTTTAGTACATATGCGTAAACACACAGGTGAAAGGCCATATAAGTGTAACCACTGCCCTTATGCTAGTGCTGATGGAAGCACACTCAAGGTATTTTACTCTTCTCAAAATTTGTTAAGCCGGGTACTCAACTGCATCATATGACATTACTAGGCAGTATGACACCATCTGCTGACTGTCGGTTGCAGCAAAGATCTTATAAACACAAGATAGCGTTCTCAGCGATTTCTGCGTGTAAATTCTGTAATAACACAGTGTACGGCGCACTCTTGCAAAAGTGAAAACTTTAGAACTTTGACTGCTTTGGCCATAGCGTACATGGGCATACATCGCGCAACTTTACTTTTATGCTTAACAATAGAAGCGTCAATTTACAATGCGCCCTCTCTTTAGAACATAAGAAACAATAACGTACTTGGTAACAAACTTTTGCGTAAAGCGAACACCTTATCTCGGATCCATGGCAACAACTAGGACACCCTTTTCCAAAAGTAATTAATTTTTTGCCAAATCGAGGATTCTATTTTGTTACGCGTAAATTGCGGAGAACGTTATCTTGTGTTTATAAGATCTTTGGTTGCAGTTTGAACGGATTGTCATTAAGAACTATCCGTTGCGCATGCACGTTGTTCTGTTGCCTACTCCATAGAATCGTGTTTGCTGATGACTGTTGGGTGCCCTGCCTTATATTTAGATTTTACATCTTTCCGAATTTAACAAGGGTGTGATCCTTTCTGAGAAGCAATCAGTTAGTTCTCATTATATGAGGAAAGTTTGAATGCAAAACCTTGGGATATAATGTCACATTTATTTATTTTTTTTGTCTCAAATAATGAAATTGCATTATGCAAGTTTGGTCCAATGACCAAGGAAAATAAGTGCAAGTCCTATCTAAAAAGAAAAGTGCTAAAAGTGTAAATTATTACTAAAAATAGTGAATTATGGCTGACTGTAAATTATGGCTTGTTAACCATATTTTTTTTCTGTTTGCAGAAACATGTTATGGCCAAGCATTCCAACATCAGACCATTCAAATGTCAGTGGTGCACCTTCTCGTCTGTTGACAAAAAGGGATTGACCATTCACCTTCGAAAACACACAGGGGAGAGACCGTTCCGCTGCAACCACTGTTCTTATGCAGCCAAAAGAAGAAGCGCCCTCAAGGTTCACATGCAAACGCATGTGCAGAGCTCAGAGAAAAAGGTCACAGAGAACGATGATCCTATTAAGGTACAATCTAACACTTAATCATAATGCTTTGTCCAGATTATCAAATTTTTTTTACAAAAAAGCTGTAAGTATGCCCATGTAATCAGGATGTGCCTATTATGGTGATGTGGTGTCATCATGATGACCATATTTTGGTATGTCATGTTTTTGTCTAATAAAATGTGGTTGTCTGGACACGGGGCTTAATGCTCAAATAATATGGCTTTGGATTCACACTGATTTAAATTTAAAAGCTTCCTCGAAGAATTATAGCTTTTGGAATAGAGGGTAGGAAAGCTATTGTCTTGCCAGAGTTTTCCATACTGTCAGTGGCAGATCCACGATTTTTATGCCAGAGAGTTGGGGCATGATTCGCATCAACCACCCAGCAGTAACATTCTGGTTTCACCCAGGTAACCACTTTCCTGTTATAATCATCTCTACTGTAGATCCTCAATAAACTCCAGTCAACTGAAGGGACAATTACCACACATTCTGATGATTCAAACCTTCAAAGCCTGCAAGTTGTTCACAACCAGATTCCAGATTCTCAGCAACAGTCCATCCTTCCACACACTTCACAAAATACTGTTCCAGAGAACCAGGCACACAATTCTGGTGTTATGCAAAACCAGGTAGGCATCATTCAAATGCCAGCAAGCCGAACACCAGTGCAACAGAACCAAGGTGCTCAGTCAGCAATTTTACAGCAGCAACGACGTATCCTGCCAAAACCGCAGCACGAAACATCGAGGTTTACTCAGGTAAGACTATGCTTAAGTATTTTTAGCAATTGTTGAATGACATGAAAGATAAGTTGTGTGTGCAGGCGGGTATACTCTATATCGCAACAATTAGCCATGGCACTGGTGGATGGCATGAAGACTTCTAAATGTTAATAGAAAATATATTTTGGTACTTTAAACCCATAAGAGCACCACACTAAGACTTTAGAGAGATTATTTGTGTGTTGTCTGAAGCCAGGCAGACACTGTGTTGTACAACAGTCATACAACGGATCCAACTAGATAGTCGGTGACAGTCTGAATGGATTGTCATTAAAAACGATCCATTACATACTCATCATGGCATTGCGTTGTTCATAGGATCACATTGGCCTGCGCAAATCAAGTACCCCGCTTTATGTCTCCTTTATAAGTTCCTGTAAGATAAGCTTCCATCCAGATAGGTGTAGTGAATCTCTAGGAGGGACAGCATTTTTCAACATCACAGCATTAAATATTGTACAAAGAAACTTTCTGTATTTAAAAAGGTTAATTTAATCCAATTGCCCTGCTGTACCTATAAACCGAGTTTTGCTTTGTGCTTACTGTCCTTGATCTTTTTATCCTTTTTGTTTCTCGATCCTCATGCTTGTCTACTTCTATTTCATCTTTGTTATGTTAAGTATATTTATTTTTTTTCAGCAAGTGACTGATACAACTCCAATGGTAACAAATGCTGAGCAAGAAACTGAGCAGTCTGTAAGATCTATGTGGCAGAATATGTAATGAGATATGTTAATGTACAACAACTCCTCTTGGATCCAGATCATCAAGAGTAAGCAGGGAGCAGATCCAAAATTGTTCAAACGGGGGAGGGGGGCACAACATTTTCAGAATAGATAAGCTAGTATTGCTTATTTCAATTATACATAACATTGATATGCACTAAAATGTTTTAATTTAGTGGCAAAATTGGGGCTCATGCCCCCCCTGTTCCCCCTAGTGGATCCGCTCCTGGTAAGAATAGCGGTGTGTGTGAGCTCGGTATGTGGCAGAAGGTCAGTAGTCTAAAGTTGAACTTGCCTAAGTCGAATCCAAAAGGCCATTGAAAAATTGTTCAACTTAGATAAAATTCACAACAATTTGGCTTGTGAAATAAGTTCGACTTAGAAATTATTTGAGTTAGGCAAAGTCGACTTAAGCAAGTTTAACTGTATTTTCTGTTTACGTGTGTGGTGTAGCGGTAAGTCTTCGGATTTTAAATTAAGATAACATTAATTTGAGACCGGCGCTCGTCCCACTGCTTGTATCCTTGGAAATGATCACTTCATTTGTCCAACAGAGTAATCGCCGTCAGTGTGGAAGTACATAAGTGTTCCAGTGTAGCATGGCGCTTTTTGGAGGATTATGATACCTATAGGGAGAGGCAGCTAATTGCAAATTCATGTGGTGCTAAAATTGTACTATGTAATTGTGTATGGCTATTTGACTTATTACATCATGAATATTATTTAATTTATTAGAAATCAGTTGCTTAATTATATCCCGATGATGCAAAATATAAGAAAATGAAAATGGAGAATTTGTTTACTATATGCCAAGTAAAAGAAATATATAATTATGTCGATAAATTATAATAGTTGGCTTTAATTGTATGTACTGTACTGAGGGTCCCAATTGATCAGATCTGGCTGGATGGACCACCAACCTCACAAAAATTTTATTAAAATAAATAATAAATAAATATAGTAATCTATCATGATAGTGCTTTACTGTAGTTCTACTGTATTTGGTGGGAACATTGTGATATCTAAAGCTGGGCACTCACTGAACCCAACGGTCGTTGGCCGATGCGATTCTATAAGGAACGCAAAGATCTTATAAACACAAGATAGCATTCTCCGCGAGTTATGCGTAACAAATAGCAGCATCGATTTGGCAGCAGAAAGTAATCATTTTTGGGAGAGGGCGTCCTAGTTGTTGCCATAGATCTGAGACAAGGTGTTCGTGTTACGCCAAAGTTTGTTACCAAGTACGTTATTGTTCCTTAATTGTAAATCGAAGCTTCTAATTGTTACGCGTGAAGGTAAATTCGCGCGGTGTACGCCATAGTCCAGGCAAAGTTCAAAAATATTTTCATTTTTGCAAGAGGGTGCCGTAGACTGCGTTATTACAGAATGTGCACACGTATATCGCGGAGAACGTTATCTTGTGTTTATAAGATCTTTGAGGGAATGCAACACCATTACAGTGCGCAACAGGGAACTGAGTTGGATTACTGCTGTCGTACGATGCAGTGAGTGCCCAGTATATTTCATAAGTACAGATGCATGTACTACTACTAGTAAATGCTGATGCTTAAATGTAGGCTTATGTTCACAACCATCACATAGTCAATCTAAACTAGTATAAGAGCCAAGTGTAAAACTGTACCCACAAGGATTCCTTTATTGTTAAAAATACCAAATTTTGGCTTTGAAAGAGAGCCCTCTATAATAATTGTCTCAGTCTCTATATTGTTACTAAAATTAGATGGTTGAGAATTCAACTCCGAAACTTGCCAGTTTATTGTGGGCAAAGTATGCTATCAAAATTGGCTCTCGACATCACTGAGTGTAAATGTATAAAAAGTAGGTTAGAATTTCAATGTGCTGAATACTAACTAGCTGAACATACTTCTCCATGGCAGTGGTGTATCTAGGAATCCAAATTGGGGGGTGGCTGATGGGGGAGCAAAGGTGACTGGGAGGCTCAAGGATTAAGTGAGGGGTGCCAGCTCACAAAGTAAGGTGATATGAGGTGATTTTTATCTACTTGAGTGTGATTTCATTGCTTCAAAACATTTTCAATGGGGAAAGCGACTGGAAGGGAGGAGCATTTTTAAGGGAAGTGGAGCCCTCCCTTAGATATGTCACTTCTCCATGGATCTGTGATGTGTTACATAGGTGTTTTGATCCAGAGACTGGCTGATAATGTAAAACACATAAAGGCAGATTAGTGCAATATGCGCTATATAAGTGGCGCATTATTATTGTTATGTAATAAAAATGGTAGAAAATATGAAGCGCATTAAATATTTTATAAGCGCTGTGTCACAGGAATTTTCCTCCACCCCCACCAGTTGGCCTTCCCTCTGTATATACATAGTGAGTTTGAAGTTCCAATCCTATCCAATCTTCAAGCTAAATTTGGATTGGTTACTGTAGGTGCATATTACTAATTGATTAGAGAATTTCGAGACCAACAAAGAAATTTCAGTTTCACAGGGGGCCAAAATCCTTGTGACAGTGGCTTATTATATTTACTATTTAACAAAAACACATAATTGAACTTCAAAATTGCAGTGCATTGTGGTGTGCTGCATTTGAGTGTATCGATGTTCATATTTTTTATAAATTGTGAATTATTGAAAACAACTTTAATTTTAAAATATCGGTGATCAATGATTACAGTGATTATTTTTAATTTACTGATGTGATTACAGTAGTAATAAAATTAAAGTGTATAAAATAAATTCTTGAAATAAAGTTGATGTTACAGTAGTTGTTTTTTTTTCAGTGGAGTTGCTTTTAGAATTTGAAAATGTCTCTGAAATTTTCAGATTTTGAATAATAATTAAGTAATGGTTTTGTGCACTCTGGGACATTTGAAAACCCTATACAATATAAGCTTATTTATTTTTTGGGAATTCATAATTATTATTATTAATATGTAATGTGCACACAAGATGGGCACACATACTTCGTCAACTGATTCATCTGCGCTCTGCTGATTGCCAGTTATGTTCTGACGAGATCAACATAAATAAAATATAATCTGCTGCACCTGTTTGTCCTGTTGCATTCTCAGTAGAGAAAAAAAATCAAAAGCACACTCGATTTTTAGTCGATACCGCATATTTAATTGTTTAAATCCTAGAAATAATAACCACCGATTTTTACGAAAGCACAGACTTCAATTTTTACTATGGTGCTGATTGCTTTGGAGAGATAGCTACTAAAGAATCTTGGTTCACGAATAGTGGCGAAGCACTTCCTGATATAGGTGGTTCCGGAGCCTTTGGACGATCCTGCTCCAGAGCATCAAGAGATTTACTTTCATCAGTCAGTGTGTTTAATACGATTTCCGCCGAACTTTGCTGAGATATCTCCGGAAGATTGCTAACTGTAGATAGAACGGAATTTGTGATTTCAGATGAAGCAATATCAGCTTCGCTAACAAGGCGTAACCTGTTTTCATCGGACTGTGGTCGACTCAGTAGACGACCAGATGGTGACTTAGTAGCTGATGAAGTTGATCCAACATTTTCCACTTTTTGTGCAGTTGAGTTATCTATAGTTGCTGTACCCAGTTCCTCTGACTTTTTTTGAAAGTTACTTTCTTCCATACCTTTTACTGCCGTGTCGGAAACTTTTGTGATTGATGCCAAAGTTAGTGATGGAACGGGTTTTTTGTTGAGTGATTCACTAACATCTAGTTCAGTTGAATTTGTTACAGTCTCCGTTTCTATAGCTAGAATTTGACTTTTCTTAGATAGACAACTAGTTGATGAATCCTTTTTGACGTTTGTGGTATTTACATCATCTTTAGGTGGTTTTTTGCCATCATTGTCTGGTCTTTCAGAATGGGTAGGCCTATGGTTCGATGACTTTCGAGATTCAACGGTACTTCTATTGGATGCACTCTCTCGGAGACTTTTTGTAGAATGGCAAATGACTGAATTTTTATCGTTTATATTGTTTACTCCACTTTCAGATGTGGTCTTGACATCAAAGGTGGGTCCTTCAATATGGGTACTTTCCAATGACTTTCGTGTTCGAACCTTACAAGTCAGCGCGCTCCCTTGACTACTTTTACCAGATTGAAAACCAGTGGATGAATCATTTTTATTCTGTTTGACATTTACTCCATCTTTTGATGTCTTTTTGATATCCAAATGGGATCCTTCAGCATTGTTATGCAGTGATGTTCTAGACTGAACGGAATTACTGAGCGCACTTCCTCGATGATTGCTGGATTTCTTTGTATTACTACATGCACCAGGTCCTTTCATACTTAGCTTTCTTACTCCGTCATCACTCGACGCATACGACGACCTTCTACTTGAACTTTTTCTTGACCTCAGAGGTATATTTTCACTTGCTACATTACCAATGTTGTTTGGAACATGTGAAGAGAAACTTTGAAAGTGACTTTCTTTCTTGTTAGAATCTGAATCTCTCCGATCTCTCTTAATATTGGGCACACTGTGTTGGCGAGTGTAAGAATTTCTTGAAGACGTGACCTTTTCTGTCATCGCAGTGACTTCCGATTTAACTTTCCTATGGGATGACCCTTGGCCAACTGAGCGTCGCAGTGAAGAAGAGGATGCGGTCTCACGCTGCAGATGTAAAAAAAAAAACGAATAGACTTCTTGGTCATCGGTCAAGAAATGTTTAATTACATCTGGATAATCTACAAACATTTAAACATCTAATAAAACTGTTAAAGATATGATACATTACCGGTACTGCATAGTTACCAACCTGAGAGATTTGAAATGCGTGACTACGTCACTACACCGTTGGCCGGGGGGTGGGGGCGCTTCCTACCGAGTCCAGAGGCGGAGAACCAGTTTCAAGTGTCAAAACAGCGTTTTAACAATATTTTTTAAAATGTCAGTGCATATTAATGTTATGTATTGAAATTTTAGAAAATACAAATGCCCCTCCCACAGTTTGAAAAATTCTGGATCCACCCCTGTTCAATGGGACTACTGTAATTAACAATTGGTTTACGTTCTACTATGACCAAGGCAATTCAACAGAATAAAATAGAAACTAACACCAAACGTATGGCACGCATAGACTAATAATTGACGGCTGGACTCGCAACTAGTATCGGATTGTCGATGCTGTACGCACGCGCTATGTGCGTCCTTCTGTTGAATTACCTTGCTATGACAAATGCTCGTTTGGATATCCTCATAATGCTTGGAATGCATCTTGATCGGGGAGCAACCTCGTGGTTTACAGATTTCAGGCAAAATTTCCAAAATGTATAACTTCATTTTGAATTAAAAGCTTGTACTGTGAAAATGTGTTAGTTGGTTACATTGCATACTCTTTGTTTCTCATTGTTTAATTTTTTTTTAAATCGGCTTTGGAATTTCGACATTAAAAAACATACATGAAGTCATTACGGTAGCTTGATGCCTATCAAATGACTAATAAAAATTTACCAAAATTCGGCAAATATCCGTAGCTTGGTCAAATATCCGTAGCTTCGCTTCGCCCCCTGGACCCCCTGTGGCACCTAGGCGGCTGCCCCCCCCCCCCCGCCCACCCG